CTCTCAGCAGGTACAGCCTCTCCCCGCTTCCCCTGTCTTTTCCTGTTCAGCTGGCATTTGGCACATAGTCCTGGGTTCACTGTGGAATCAGAGGAATTCTGGCCTTTCTTTTCCAGCAGCTGCCCTTGGGCTGTGGAAAGGCCTCACACCAGCATCTTCCTGTCTGACCTAGAGACCTCCATGGAATCACCTTTCATCCCTGAGAAGACTCCCCAACATTTCCTGTGCATCCAGCCTTCAGACAGTTCCCATCTCATTTTTGTCAGGCCTTAGGCAGGTACTTCCTGCCAGGAAGAGGACAGGATGTGTTTCCCAGGGTAAGGGCAGCAGCCTACCCCATGTCTTTCTCTAGCTAAAGTCCCCCTATGTGTGGCCCATCTGCCTGGGTTATTATCTTCCATGGCTCTAACCCCACTCATCCCACTCATCATGGCTTCCATCCCATCTTATAGCTCCAATGGTTTTGGCAACCTCTCCCATAACCAAGTAACTCAAACCCTAGCAACTGATATCAACCTTCTATTCCCTATGTTTACATCAAGGACATGTCCTCTCCAGTGAGTTCAGGCCATATAAGCCTCCATGCTTATAAGGGACCTGCATACCACTTGACCGCCTCAGCCTCCAGGCTGGGCTGGGGCTGGCCTGCTGCTTGACCCCATCAGCCTTAAGGTTGATCTGGGGCCAGCCAGATGCTAGGCTCAGCCAGAACCTGCCTGCCGCTCGACCCCCTCATCCTCCAGGCTGAGTTGGAGGGGCCTGGTGGTCAACGCTCTCAGGATACTGGCTGAGCTGGGCCTGGGCTGCCGGTTGACCCCCTCAGCCTCCAGACTCAGCCAGGGCTGGCCTGCTGCTTGACCCCCCTCAGCCTCCAGGTTCAGCCAGGCCCGGCCTGTCACTTGACCCCCTCAGCATCGAGGCTCAGCTGGGATGGCTGCTGGTCGATGCCCTCAGCCTCCAGGCTGAGCCTGGGTAGTCCTCTGGACGACCCCATCAGCCTCCTGGCTTAGCTAGGGCCGCACTGCTGCTCGACCCACTCAGCCTCCAGGCTGACCCAGGAGTAGCCTGCCGCTTCACCCCATTGGCCTCCAGGTTGAGCTGGGATAGTCCTCTGGGCGACCCCATCAGCGTCCAGGTTGAGCTGGGGTAATCCTCTGGTAGACCCCATCAGCCTCAAGGATGAGTGGGGCCCAGACTGCTGTTCGACAACCTTGTCAACAGGCTGAGTAGGGGCAGGCACTCCACTCGAAACCCTCAGCATCCAGGGAGCCAGGGCTGACCTGCCGCTTGACCCCCTCAGCCTCCAGGATGTGCTTGGGTAGTCCTCTGGTCGACCCCCTCAGCACCAAGGCTGCGCTGGCGTAGTCCCCTGGTCGACCTCATCAACTTCTAGGCTGAGCTTGGACCAGAATACTGGTCAACCCCCTCAGCCTACAGGCTGAGCTAGGGTAGTGCTCTGGTAGACCCCATCAGCTTCCAGGCTGAGCTTGGGCCGGACTGCCATTCGACATTCTAAGCCAACAGGCTGAGCTGTCGCCAGCCTACCACTGGAGCCTCCCAGCATCCAGGCCGAGCCAGGGCCAGCCTACTCCTCCACCCCCACTGCCTCCAGACTTATCTGGTGAGAACCTGCTGGTCAACCCCCTTAGCCTCCATGCTGAGCCAGGCCTGGCCTGCTGGTCGACCCATTCAGCCTCCAGAGTGAGTTGGAGTGGCCTGCTTGTCAACACTCAGACTTCTTGCTTATGAGGGACCAGCAGTTTCATTTCTGCTCCAACACTTCCTGTATAGCAAAGATACCTCATGCTCCTTTGGAAAAAAAAAATAAAACCCCCCAATTTTTATCATAGAAAGGTTCAAATATGTGCAAAATTGGAAAAACTATTATAATCCCTATGTGCCCACCCCATAGCTTCAAGAATCATATTTGGCTGATCTTGTTTCATCTACAGCCCCACTCTTGCATAGTGCCTTTCTTCCCAGCCTCAATATTTACTTTTATTATTTTATTATTTTTTATTCTCCAAAATAAAGAATTGAAATCCTTAAGATGAACTAGATGCTGCAGCAGCTTCCCTCTTGGGTTTAGATGTTGTTCCTTCATGGGATCCTTGCCTGAATGTGCAATATACAATTTTCAGGTGCCCCATTTGGCCTGTCCCTGTAGTATTTTATCTTTTCACTTGGTACCCCAGTTATACTCTCTTTTCCGCTGGCAGCATCGCCACATCTACTGCAAGTTGGCTTCTGAAGGTGGGAGACCTTAGAGCCACAGCAGGGCTGATGTGTGTGTCTTATAACGCTTTCCAAATGATGACCTTCCCTTCAGCATCTTGCTTCTGCCACTGAGACCAAAAAGGCACAAGAGAATGTCCCAATATTCCTTTTAAAATTTTTTGAACATAATTATAGATTTACATGCAGTCATAAATAATACTTTTGTAACTGCTATAGATATAATCTATATCTATAGATATAGGTGGAGCCTTTGGGAAGCTATCCGGTAATTAGAGCTCTTAGTAAAAAAAAAAAAGGCACCCACAGAGGTCCCTGTCCCTTCTACCATGTGAGGACACAGCAAGAACATTTCTATCCAAGAGCCAGCGATAAATCTAATTCTGCTGGTGCCCTGATCTTGCACTTTCCAGTCTCCAGAACTATGAGAAATCACCGCTGCTTATATGCCCCATTTTATGGTATTGTTACAGCAGCCTAAGAGGACTAAACAGTGACATTTTATGTAATTATATTATTCTATCACAATCAGGATGCTGACATTCATATAATGTAACAATATTATTTTGATTTCCCAGTTTTATACTCATTTGTGTGTGTGTTGTGTATTAACTTGTACACAATTTTATCCCCTAAGTTCCTTTACCCACCACCAAAGTAAAAGACCAGTTCCAACACCAAAGGATCCCTTGTGCTGCCATACCGATTTCCTGTCACTTCTGCTTCATTCCTACTACTTGATAACCATAAAATCTGTTTTCTGAACATTTGTCATTTCTAAAATGTGATATAAATGGAACTATACAGCATATAATTTTGGGGAATTATTTTTTCCTTCACATAATTACCTGCCAATTTATTCAAGCTGTTGTATCATTTCTTCCTTTTGATTGCTATAGATGGACCATAGTTTAACCTGCAGAAAGACATTTGGGTTTCCAGTTTTTGGCTATTATGAGTAAAGTTGCTCTGAATATTTGTCCATAAAATTTGAGGTGTCCAGCGGTATGGAATTAGCTACCACAGGGGTAATAGAGGTGCTTACTGGGTCTATCATTTCTCAGGGCTTCTCAGTTGACAGAATTAGAATGGGCTTTTGATTCTAAGCTAAAATATGCCATGAATAAATACTTCCTAAATTTAAAACCACAGAATATTTGCATAGCATTACTGATTTTTTTCAATCAACATTTCTCCTATGCCAAAACTACAATTCTGATAACACCAACATAATTACGTTTTATTGTACACAATTTTACCTATTCCTGACAATATGATTAAGATTTTATGAGTTTTTTTAAATAGCATTTAGTTTTGCCTTTAGGGTAGATCTTTCGGTTGTGCCATTAATATCGAGTTTTCAAGTTATTCTGAAGAGTTCCCTTATGTGTAGTCATGCCATCAACATTTAGCTTATTTCATTTTATTTTCAACTTTTAAGGATTTGTATAATCACGTAGTCAGGTTTCCCAAATCAAATACACAAAACAAAGTCTAGCCTCGTTTTGTTAGGGGGAAAGGATGTCCTAAAGCTAATTTCATACAGGCTTTGTGGACTCCACCCCCACCCCAGGCCAAAGCCAAAGCCACTGGGAACTTCAAATTTCATCACCACCAAAGGGAAGGTAGCTGGGACCTGAGGGTGGGGTTGAGCAGCCAGGTTGATATAAAGGCAGACACGTGGGCTTTGGGGAGGGTTCCCCCATTTTGGCTCTCCGCCAGTTCGCAGTGTCGCGCCAGCTCTGAGAGTGACTTTGGGTTTTCAGGTTGGCGGATCGGGTAGGACGCATTAAAGACTTTATTTCCCTATTTTCTTTCTGAGTTGTATATTTTTTTTTTCTTTGTAAACAAACCTTTTATTAACCTTTTGTGTGTGCCTGTAGTGGAGTATTAATTATTAATTATTATAATAAGCGCGCGGGTGAGGACCCACAGCCAGTAACCCGTTCAATATCGGGGCTGCTCTGTAACAGAAGGGTAGAGGTAATAGGCATACTCTCTTATTCCTAACTTCACCAGGAGTCTCGTGTTCCACCGTAGAGAACCTCTAAAACTATTGAAGTAAATGCGGGGATGATATCCATCATATCTGATCTTTCATAGCATTTCTTGGGAAGGTGAAGAGCGGGAAAACACTGTGCACAAGAAGACACAGGATCACAGACTCGGGGGACTTGCCCCAAGGAACAGAGTGAGACTGGAGTCTCCTGCTCCGCAGTGCCGAGCTTCGGAGAGAACGTGTTTAACAAAACTTTTTCTCTCTCAGTTTTAAAAACTGCGCAACACACAGATGACTAATTTTATGGAGTGAACATCTCAGGGGCCCTTCGAAGAGAAAACAAGGCCGCAAGAAAAAAGGCCGCAAAAAAAGGCCTGCGAGGCCCGGCAGCCCCGGGGCGCTGGGGTCCGAGCTCGGAGGCGGCGGACACCGGAGACGCTGTGGAGGCGCCGAGGGAGGCGGGCCCAAAGCACCGGGCCGTTCAGGTGAAGTTGTCCCCTTTGGAGGCCCGAAAGGGAAGACGGACACTCAAGGCTCCAGCAGAAGCCAACGACGCAGCGGAGAGCGGGCGCCACGCAGAAAGTTTCCAGAGACAAACGCTCCTGAGGCCGAGCCGCGTACTCCGTCGGCTGCAGCCTGAAAACCGCCACCGGGGGGCGGTGGCGGGGCCCTGAGGCCCGAAGCCCGCCGGGGCGGGGGCGGAGCAACGGAAATGACGTGTAAGGGACCATTGGGCGGGGCGGGCTCTCCCCTCTCCCGGGTAAGCGCTAACGGTTTCCGGTAGTGGATTTTGGGAGGGGCGGGGGGGCAGGAGGTGGCCCCTGGGTGTCCCCTGACCCTTGGCCCCAAGCAGGTACGCCAAGATGATGGGCTGTGGGGACTCAGAGCTGAAGTCAGTGAGAGGGGGAGAGACTGTGGCGGCCCCGGGACCACCCCCAGCACCCCGCGCCCCAGATCCCGGAGCTCCTGTGCCCGAGCCCGGTCTGGACTTAAGCCTGAGCCCGCAGCCCGAAAGCCCTGCGCGATCGCGCTGCAGCCCGCCGGGGCGGAAGGGGCCGGCGGACCGGCGGGGCGGGGCTCGCAAAGGGCGCCAGGTGAGCTGGGGAAGACTTGGCCGCTAGTCTGCGGGAGACCCCCGCGCCCACCTCTTCACCGCCCCGCTCTCTGCACCCAGGTACGCTTCCACCTGGCGCCGCCCTGCCCCGTCCCGTTGGAGCCGCCGCCGGCCGCCGCCGCACGGAGCGAGAAGCCCGCGGTGCAGGACCTGGGGGCGCCCGCGCAGCAGAGCAGCCTGGCGCTGAGCCTGGAGCTGCAAGCCGCGCGGGCCGCAGCCGGGGGCCAGTTCGATGCCGCAAAGGCCGTGGAGGAACAGCTGAGAAAGTCATTCCAGACCCGCTGTGGCCTGGAGGAGAGCGTGGCTGAGGGTGAGGGGGGCAGGCGGCTGGACCGGCGCGGGAGTGGGGGTGAAGGGCGTCGCTCACTCCTGCCCCCCCACCTGCGGTCTCAGGGTTGAACGTGCCGCGCTCTAAGCGTCTGTTTCGGGACCTGGTGAGCCTGCAAGTGCCGGAGGAACAGGTGCTGAACGCAGCGCTAAGGGAGAAATTGGCGCTCCTGCCTCAGGCCCGAGCCCTGTCCCCAAAGGTGAGGGTCTTGGCTGAAGTCCTCTTCCCGGTGGGGGGTTCTTACCCCTCCTAAAGTATAACCTTGCCTTGGGTTCCTACTCCCAACAGGAGCCACCTGGGCCAGGGCCTGACATGACCATCCTGTGTGACCCAGAAACATTATTTTATGAATCTCCACACTTGACCCTGGATGGTTTGCCCCCTCTCAGGCTTCAACTTCGGTCCCGCCCCTCAGAGGATACCTTTGTTATGCATAGGACACTAAGGAGATGGGAAGCTTAGAGACCTGGATGCCCCCTGGATTGCGAATTTGTTTTCTATGTTAAAGCTTTTTGAATAAACGTGGTTTTCTAACAAATGGAGCTCTTTTCGAGAGCCTTGAGCTGGGGGTGAAGCCTCAGGTTGGAAGATGGCTGGAGATGGGTGACAAGTGGAAAAACCCTGTGTGTGTCAGGGATTAGCTACTCTGTCATCTATTTCTCCAAGGTCATCACAGCTGGCAACTTTTGCTTTGGATGATCCTATACTTGTTCTCTTGCACTACTTTTTACTGATCACTTTAGTGAGTCTTACTCTCTAAGTTAAACTTCAGGAATGCATTGGCTCCTTACCAAGGTGGAGCAGCTGGCTAGCACCAGTTGTTGAAAATAACTTTTACCTTTAAAAGGTCTCACGCAACTTGTTTACACCTGACTTGAGTGATCAGTTGTTGAATTTTCACAACTTCAGAAATGGCAAGCAAGCTGACAGAGCTTTGTGTTAATTAACCTGTTAGAATGGTTCTGCAACAGGAAAAAAGGTGGGTAGGTGGGTGGGTGCTAGGTCTTAGAGCAGGTGATCTGGTCCCCAATACCATTTTCTAGTTCTGTTTCAATTATACTGTTAACTCTTACAAAGTTAGCCTTTTGCCCAAAGTGCCCCCCCCCAAAAAAAATTTTCCTCAATGGGCTTTTTGGGAGAGGAGAGATGGCCTCTTCCCAACTACTGAAAAACCAGTCCTTTGAAACTAATTTGGGCAGAGAGGATGTGGAGATTCTGCCGGGAAGCACAATCCCTGCCCCACCAGCTGAAAAATGCCAGACACAGGTGTGGGGGCCACTGCCCTAGAATATCAAGTTTATTGTGCTGTTCTCACATTCCAAACCCAACCCCCTTGTCCAATGGGGGACAGCAGAGGGAAGAATTTTCACAGTACCTGTGTGCCTCCCCCCTACCCAATTTCCCCCTTAAATCTCAGTCCATCTATCTGTGGTCCACTGAAACGCAGCTAGTGACAAGGGCTGAGGAGAAACAAGAATCTCCTTGGGAGAACAGGAGGAAGAGACCAGAGAACTTGATACTGCCCACTTCCCATGCTCTAGGAGAACAGAGGTCAGCAAACAGTCCATGCCATCCAGCCCAGCAGGCTGGGGGAGAGGAAGATGATAACTCCAGCACAGCTGGGCTTGCTGCTTGGGTGCCAGAGGTGTAGGGAGAAGGCTGGGGCAGCAACATAGGAAAAGCTTTCTCTGCAGATCCAGGAAAGGAAACTATTTTTGGAGCCAGAAAGGAAAGACCTTGGGATACTTTCCTCTTCCCCCAGGTCCTTAGGAGCAGCGGGCAGCTTCTTCACACTCTTTCCAGGGGGCCACTTAGTGGCTGGGGGAACGGCCCTTGTGGAACAGGAACACAGGGCGCTGGAACCCTGAGGGGGGAAAAGTGTAATCAGAAGAGACTGGTAAGACCTCAAGATTCTCAACAGGATCTGTACTCTCTTAGCCAGGATGGGCCTCCCCTCCATCCCTCAAAGTAATCCAGCTTTACCTCTGGCGGTGCTGTGGGGTGTGGCCACCAGCTCATAGCTGGAGAAGCCCACCTCTGGGGATGTTAGGTAGGAAATGAACTGCTCTGGCTTCAGCTGGATTCGATAGTAGTTCTTGTAGATTGTTTCCTAGGGAGAAAGGCAGGGGCAGCTTCAGCTTGTGGCCTTCTCCTCTGCAGGAGAATGATGTCCACTTGGGGGCCTTTTCACCTTGTTCACAAAGTCTTTCTCTTCCTTTCTTGTGGCCTTGTCTGAACTAAAGGAAGGACATCCCCACTTTCCACTGAAACCCAACTCACCGTGAGTGTCTTTCTCCTGCCATAGGATGACCAAGGTTGGGGCTCCAAGACCAGGATGCCCCCAGGGCGTAGGTGGCGATAGATCCTGCGAAACATGCGTTTCAGCCCCTCATCTCCCCAGTTCAGATGCACCCACTTGGTGAGGCTGAGGCAGAGCACCACATCATACTCGGGTGCTTGGGCGTCCACTAGCTCATCTCGATCCAGCACATAGTTACCCTGAAGACCAGAATTGGAGGCAAGATCAATTAAAGGCATTGGAAGAACCATCCCTCTCCCCACTCCCCCCCCAACCCATAATGCAACTGCTAAGACAAAGTTCCACAGCCTCATTTTAGCCTTTGGCCACAATCTTCTCTCTTTGACACTCCTCAGACTAACTCTAAATGGTGCCTTTTCAAGTCTCATCTTGCTTTATATCATCCTGCCCCTGCTTTCTACTGGTGATAAACCAGTCCAACATAACAGGGGAGCCTGGTAACTTATTTGAGTAAAATTATTCATGAGATCTCTGGAACGGGGGTCAAACTGCAGAGAATGATGGGATTCTCAAGACCATCTCCAATACTCTTTGCCATCCCACAAACATGAAGCTCCAGTGACTCTCAATGTCATGCAAAAGGGCCTAACCTAAGTCTGAAAGAGAGACAGGTTCCTTCCCTGTAGTAGGGGATGGCAAGGTTTCTGGCCTATTGGAGCCTTCCTCCCAAAGAAATTAAGAGCCACATTCCTCAGGAAACCTCTAGACAAAAAAACTCATCATTCCCCTCCCACAAAGGTCATTCTTCCAGGCCTAACCCAACACTACTATTTAATCCTGCAGATGGCCTTAATGAAGTGTTTCTGGGAGGAATGAGCATTCAGGGGACAGGCAGTCTGCGAGACCCTGCCCTCTCCTGCACAGGATTCTGACTCTTCCCCAATACCTAGGGTCAACATGGAGATGATCTAAAGCCAAGTCACTTGGGTTCCTGACCACTGACACTCTTCACCCAACTCTGCATCTAGTGCAAACATGGTCCCTATCAAAGAACAGACAACCCTAACCCCTTCACCCCCCAGACATTCCATGTTTGATATCCCTCTCTTCATGATTACTCATTAGGATGGTGGACAAGTTTCCATTTAGACCAAATCCCATCATGAGCATCAGCAGCAGTCCCAAAGGAAAGTGAGTTTGTCTGGATTATAGTCCAGGCTAGGATCAGGGCAAAAGGAGTCAGTCCCTACTTAGTGCCTGTAGTCACATGCGAAAGGACTGCAGGTAGGGCCCCCACCTAGAAGGTGAGACACCCAATGGAATTAAGTTGCAGTTTCAGACCCTGCTGAGCATCTGGTTCTCCCAATGAGGAGTGCATGCACAGAAATCCCTATGGGTTGTAACCTTCCCTGACAAATTCCCATTTAATCTCATCTTCATACCTGGGCCCTATACCAAGAGCCTTCAGACTCTCTTACCGTGACGAAGACAACATTGTTGGGGAAGACTGATGTGTCTGCTCCATCCAAGGGCACTTGGGGTGCAGCGATAGGACCCCGGCTGGCGGTCAGTGAGGCTGGGAAGTAGCTCCTCTTTCGGACTGTAGTGGTCCCTTTCTCACTCTCTGTCCCTGGGTCACCCTCAGAAGTCTGAGATGGCAGACGCAGTTCCTCAGATAGGTAGTGTCGGATGTTTTGGCGAGCCGAGTGGATGAGATGAGGATCAATATCCAGGCCCACCATGCGGGTTGGGCCCCACTTACAGGCAATGCTCAGGGTCAAATGGCCCACATTGCAGCCCAGGTCTAGCACGTCCCGGCCCCGAAACCACTCAGGCTTCAATACCCGAAGGCGCACATCCTCACAGGAAGGATTACGGTACCCATAGTACTTGGTATAATTCCCATACTGGAACTTTAGCTGCTGCTTTTTGAAGACCGCTGCTGGCAGTGGGTGGACATGGTGGCGGCCTCCCCCACTCCCTCGACCTTTTTCCTTGGGACCCTGGCCTCCACCCCTAGCCCCTGCCTCTGACTTGCTGGAAGTCCTGCGACGTTTACGATGTCGTGAGGAGGAAGAGGGGGGTGCAGAGGTAACTGAGGCAGCTGGAGGGGCTGAAAGGGAGCCTGAGGAACCCTGTAGGGCTGATGGGAGGGGAGACACGACCTCATCCCTGCAGTTGATGGCTGTGTTGAGTTCATAAGGTTGGGGGGCATCCCGATTCTGGCCCCTATGCCGCTGCTGCTGTGTGGCAGCCTCCCCTTGGAGTGAGGGGGTGAGGGAGGCTGTGGGCTGCACTGAGAGGCTATCATTCCCTCCAGTTGCTTGCTGCTGCTGTTGCTGTTGCTGCTGCTGCTGCTGCTGCTGGTGGTGCTGTCCCCGATGTCTATGCCGCTTCCGACCAGTCTTGAGTGGCGAAGCAAGAACTACTTGGGCCTCATCAGTGCAAGTATTGAGACTGAGCGGGTCAGTAATATCTTTGGGGATGAGGATCTCCACTGGATCTCTCCCCTTGGCCGGAAGTGGGGATGACTTAGGGGTCTCCGCATTGAGTGCGCGGCTCACTTCCTCATCCAAGAGACTATTCAGGTTCAGTGGATCAAAGATATTGCCCCCCAGGAGGAAGTTGGAGGGTAACACAGAGTCACAGTCCGAATTAACCCGCCTGCGCCTCTTGAAGGCCGGATGTTTGAAACCTCCACCACCGCCCCCTACATTACAGCTATTTCTCCTCTTGCCCCCGCCTCCCCCGGGAGGCCGGTGAGGCTGATAGCCATTACGGGGTCGAGGAGGGGCAGGGGGGCCCAGTTCTGTTCCGCCCCCTCCCCGTCGCTCCTCCCCCACGTCCGGGGGAGCGGCTCGCCCATGGGAATCCGACAAGCGGCCCTCCCCGTGCGACTGCGCCTGGGGGCCGCCCCCTCGCTGCTGCTGCGACTGGCCACCCCGAGGAGTGGATGTTGCCCCAGGGCTCTCCTTGCCGGCCCCAGAAGCAGGGGCCCCCGCCGAGTGCGCGCGCGGACCCGGCCCACGCTGCGTCCCGCCGCGGAGCTCCCCGGAGGCGGCCTCTCGGTGTGGTTGCACCGTGGGGCCGCCCCCTCCGCCCGACTCATCTTTGAGCGGCGGTGGCGGGGCCGGCACCAGAAACGGCTCCTTCTCCGCAGCCATCTCGATCATTTCCTCCCCTTATTCCGTCCCACTCGAGGGCAACGGGGGGGCCCAAGGGGCTCAACCCCCCCTCCCTAAGCCCCGCTCCCTTCCTCCCTTCCCCGAGTGCGCGCGCAGCTCTGCTCTCCTCGCCTAGTCTCGCACCCAAGCGCCTCCCCCAAAGCGCGCCCCACTCGCCCGCGAGACCAAAACAAGATGCCCGCGAGACCCGAACGCGTCGAAGAAGCAACCGCGCGTGCGCCGACCCCTTTCTCCTCTACCACTACCGCGGCGCCGCGAGCGCGCACTGCCGGGGCGCGTTCCTCTCGCCCCGAAATCACGCATGCGCACTCCGCCACCACCCTGGCTGCGCGCGCATCAGCGTACGAACCAACTTAACGGCTCCGGGAGTTTAAATATAGTCCCCCTTAGCCCTCCCAAGAGCCCACCACCCCACACTGCCACCCTACTTCCCTTCGCAGCTATGTCCGTCCCTACTGATATCCTTTGTCTCTGCCGCGCGATCCCACCCACCGCAGGCGGGGTACTGGGAGCTGGTGTGAAAAGGTCTCCTTGACACCCGACCCTTGTTGCTGAGGAATGAGTCTCAGCGGTCTCCGCCCGGCTCTAAACCCAACAACCTCCCTACCCCGCCTCTTTCCTCCCCCTAGTGGGCAGCGCCTGCGCACACCCTTTTGGCCTAGCGCGGGTAGATGCAGCACGTGCTGGCGATGACGCCCCGCCCCCGTCCTAGGGGCGGGGACTGTTACGTCGCTTCCTCAGGTTTGGTCTACGCAACGTGCGTCAGCACGACTGGGGGCGTGGCTAAAGAACGAGGGGGCTCATGAATTATTCATGATCCGGTTGCCCCCCTTTTGCCCACCTACTTAGAAGGGCTTTCGAGGGAACCGAGGGGTGAACCTAAAAGTAGGGGAGGGAAAGGAGCCGAGCGTACTGACCGTCTTCCTACGAACTGTTCTCAGTAAAATACGATAGGTCATTTTAACTCACCCCCCTGGAAAATATTCTCTGCTGAACTGAAAAAAAAAAAGAAAAAAAGCACTAAAACAGCCGATGTTGTTCAACTTCCTCTTCCCCCGAAATGGCCGAGTCGTTCTCGCTCCTCCGCCTCCCCCAATCGCGATCACCTGGGGTCACCACGCCCTCCTCTCCTCCACACCCACATCCCGACACCAACGCCTCCGCCCGCCGCCCGACGCCTGCGCACGAGCCACTGGCCCGCGGACGGCGAGCCTGACGCCCACCACAGACTCCAAGAGCAGTGCTCCCCCGGCCGCCGCCGCCGCCGCGCATGCCGGCTTCTCCGAGCGCAAGCTGCGGCTTCGCGCCGCCTTATATAAAAACGAGAGTGGGCGGGGAGGAGGTTTCGGCCTCTTTTGGGCCTCCTGGCTCGGCCAATGGGGAAGGAGCAATTTGATGTTTTCCACAGGGAGCTGGGGGGCCCCTGCAGCCAGCAGTGCTGGGGGTGCGGGCCCTGTGAGTGAGGAGAGGGAGGGAGATGTTAGAGTGGGATTAAGGATAACCTCAAGCAAAATTAAAATAAGGGCGTAAAGGCGACCGAAAGGAAGAAGGAATCAGAGAACGAAAATGAAGGGAAATGCGGTCGGGCAGAGAGAGAAGCCGATAAAAGAAAGCTGTGCATTAGAAACGATCAGGCGTTGCTGATGCCGCCTAAAAATAAGTGAGGCCAGCGGGGATCATGGGATTTGTAGTTTTCCGCCGCGCGTGGTGGGAAGATGGCGGAAAAAACGCAAAGCGCAGGCGCAGGCGCGACCTCCAGCTGCACCTGCGCCTCAGTTCTTGAGCGCACGCCGCTCAGGGGCGGGGCTTCTGCCCGGCCTCGCGCCTTCGCTTGGTGGCGGGAAAACTGGGTCGAGAGTGGAGAGACTTGCGGAATCGCTGCAGTAGCTCCAGTTTTCGCCCACTTTGCTCCAGAAGGTAGTTGGCTCTTCTCCGGTTGCAGGCAAAGGTGGTAGGCTCGGCCAGTCCTGGTACCAGTCGCCTGAGAAGTTTTCTCTTCAGAGAGACAACCATTTCTTAGGACCTCCTCCTCAGAAACCCCCACTGCAAACACCCTCAGGAAGAAAAAAAATCCCTCTAACGCAAATGTTGGGTGGGCAACGATGGTCTGACGAGAATGATTATCCTTGTGCCTTGGTTGCAGGGTCTGTGAGGGAAAATTTCTGTGTGTGAGAGAGAATTCCCTCATGGTGGGACGCTCCATGGGGAAGAGAGCCACTTGCTCTACCCAGTGAGGGGAGCCTGGGAGATTTGACCCCATACCTCCGGGTGAGGGAAGAGAAGGAAAATGTGGCTCACCAGAAGTTCTTCCCTGTGGCTTTAAAGCTGGAATTAGACTCTTTCCTGTTGGAAATTTGGCTCTCTGTGAGGGGAAATGGCGCGGGGTGTGGAAGGTCACGGGGTAGGAGGCTGTTTGGAGGTGGGAGCGGCGGGAGACGCACGTGGAGGCATTTCAGGCAGTAGAGAGAGTGAGCGAGGTCGGAGTCTCTGCCTCGTGGTGCTCATCGCTGCGTCTGTTTGCTGCCCCGAGGCTGGGAGCGCGGGGTGAGAGTCTCCAGAAGCTTCCCAGAATGACTTCTGACCTTGTCTTCTAGTATAAGCAGTAAAGGTAGTTGGAATCTGATTTTATTAAAACTTTTAAGTCATGCTGGCTGAGCACAAAAAAGAAAGAACTTTTTAAAACTCTTACCAACCAAGGCGGGAAAATAAGTGGGGTACGCATGCCGCCAGAGGGGATGCCCAGAGAAAGTCAGACTCCAGCTTAAAGGAGATTGCCTTTCAGTGTCGTCAGGCGCACAGTGTGTGCTGAAGGACAGTTCTGAGAGGTTTCTTTTTTGTTCCTGACCGAGGATTCCAGAAACAATATAAAGAGGGTATTATTGGAGAGTGAGGAGGGGGGAATCTGTAAATATTCGGAATGGAGGAGGGATGGGAGGGAAGAGGAATGTGTTTTGGAAAGTACTGAGAAGGTGGAATTAAGTTATTTAGCTAGATGAGGTCCCAAACTTTCTGGGATCAGAACCCTTTTAAATTCTTAATATTATGGGGGACTCCAAAGATTGGCTCATATCTCTTTATACATGGAGATAATTAATATATTAGAAAGTGAATTGCATAATTTTAAAATGCTCATTTTAAGGTAAAAATAAGCCTATTCTGCTCATGAAAAATATATTTTCCCAAATGAAGGAAAATTTTCTGTGAAGAATACCATTGTTTTGCTCTTTCATGTTTGGCTGAAGAGAAAACAGCTGGATTTTTATCTTTCCGAATTCAGATTTACAAATATCTTAATTTGGGTAAAGTAATGAGGAAATTTAGTTCGACAGATGAGTAGTTGGAAAAGAGAGGGAACCGTGGGGTCTTTGGATCACGCTTTCAAAACTGCTGAACTAGGTGATTTCATATTAAAATCACTGCGATGGTTTTCAGTGTTGTAAGGGAAAGAAAACGTTTTTTGTTTTTTAAAAAGATTTATTTATTTATACAAGCACTGGGTGCAGTCAGAAGCGCGGGAGGGTGAGAGAATTCACCAGAGCCAGAGCGGGGAGCAGAGCAGGCAGAAGGACCGAAGTACACTGCTGAGGGAAGCAGCGGGCGGCAGGAGAGGTCTGCGCGCCATGTGGGACCCTCCTCCGGTGGCCGGGGAGCAGCCGGGGATCGAACCGGCGCTGCAGAGGCAGCGGGCAGCTTCGCAACCCAGCGCTCAACCGCTGCGCCACCGGGGAGGCCCAAGAAAACGTTTTTTGAAACACCTCATACACCTGCCCTTGGTTCCTGGTATTGGTTATTTCTTAAATTTTTCCCCCTTCCTTATTCACCCTCCTTTCTTATATTGAGTGAGTAGAAGCTAGTTTATTATACTTTCTTTCACTTTGTACTTAAAACTTTATTGGATTTTTTTCCCCCCTCTCTTTTTTTTTTTAAATTTTATTTTTATATTCCCCATACAATTGCAATCCCCCCATTCTGACCCCAATAAAAAAAAAATAGAAATTAAAATCTCGAATGTTACTATTGGATCTTGAGCCCATTTAGCAGTTGGTCAGATGAAAGTTGGTGGTATTTTGTGTATTTATTATCTGTATTTTAATTTTTTTTTCATTGTTTGAATTGTATTTCAATATTCATTATTGTGGAAGAAGATAGCTCCTCTGAAATAGGAGCAGAGACTTGAATTGTCAGCATGTGACTTCCTGGAAGAACCTTTATTGATCAAGTTTGAGATTTTGTTTAAAAGTAGTGTTTTTCATCACATCACCATTCTAGATTAAGGGGAACTGTTCCACAATTTTATCCTTTGGTGGAGGCTACAGAAATACATTTTGGCCTAGAGAGGTCAGTATAGGTTAGATAATGGTCCTGGGAATTTTTGCATTTTTATGTTGACCAAAATAATCTTTTTTTTTAATGTAAATAATTTAGTGCTTGCTTCAACAGCACATATAGTAATGGATTTGCAATAAAAAAAGTGACTTTTAGGGGCCTCTCTGGTGGTGCAAAGGGTTAAGCACAGCCCTGTAAAGCTATCCGCAGCCTCTGCAGGAGTTGGATCCCTTGGCTGGCCAGGGAGCAGCCCACATTGACACAGCAGACCTCTCCTACCTTCCTACCTTGCCAGCTGCTCCCCTCAGCAGTGTATTTCAGCCAGTCTGCCTGTTCTGTTCCCCGCTCTGTCTCTGGTGAATCCTCTCACCGCCCCCCCGCCCCCCACCTCTGGCCTATACCCCAGTTCTTGTATGCATAAATAAATAAATATTTAAAAAATTCATCTACTTGAATATTTTTTAGAAAGTGACTTTTAGAGTAATAATATATACATATATATGTTGTAAAAGTACTAGAGATACATAAGGGGCTACTATAAATGCTTCTTTCTCCTGATCATCCAGTTCTATGCCCCTGGGGCACTTTTGTCAGTTTCTTGTATATTTTTCCAGAGATAGTTTATGGATATACAAGCATATTATGTAGATGTGTATTTTATTTTATTTTTTGTTTGTTTGTTTTTATAGAGGCATGTTATTTATTTATTTATTTGTTTGTTTTGTTTATACATGCACTGGGTGTAGTCAGAAGCACGGGAGGGTGAGAGAATTCACCAGAGCCAGAACGGGGAGCAGAGCAGGCAGAAGGACCGAAGTACACTGCTGAGGGGAGCAGCGGGCGGCAGGACAGGTCTGCGCGCCATGTGGGACCCTCCTCTGGTGGCCGGGGAGCAACCGGGGATCGAACCGGCGCCGCAGAGGCCGCGGGCAGCTTCGCAACCCAGCGCTCAACCGCTGCGCCACCGGGGAGGCCCAGTAGATGTGTATTTTAAAAAGTATATGTTGTCATTTCAAATACGCTAATTTTTATTTTACATTTGTCATCTTTGTAGTTTAGATAGCCTTAGTCGGGGTTTCTCATGAGTTTTTTGTGTGTGTGAATTCTGGTGAGTCTGGGAAGAAATATGTTTGTCCTATGTGGTCAAATTAATATTCTTTTTGCAGCCTAATTTTTCAGTTTCTAGATTTTATTTAGGATTATCATAAGGAAGGAGACTGATTTTGTGTAGTGTTTCTCTCCATTTCCCATATGCTTTTTTTTTCTGGAGTAAACAAATTTGGGGGTTGGTGGTGATGAGTTAAGATGGACGATGAGTTAAAATGGAAGCTAACGTTAAGGAAAAGTAGTCACTGCAGAACAGCGCATTTGAATTATTTACATTTATAGAAGGAAGAAAGGGAACAGAAAACACAAAAGATATTTATAAAACACTTTACATTTCAGACAGGCCAGAGTAAGTTAAATCCCCAAAAACTTCTGGATTCATCTTGGGATCCAAAGGAAGGAACTCTGCATCCTGAACAGCTGAGTGTTTACTATAGCTTAGCCATTTGAGGGTCTTAAAATTTTCAGATTCCTTAAAGGAAGTTTATATAAACCAAAACAGTTATCTTACACTGCTTTGGGGTCTCTTATTGTAGGAAATGGCAGAGTTGAAACCTTGAGTTTCAGGTCTACGGCCTTCAAAGTACTGAAAACCAACAGCCAGAAATAAGGTCACTAAAAAAGAATGGAAATGTTATTTAATAGACTTTAGAGACAAAAGACCTAGGTCATCTTGGCTCTACCATATATTAATACCGAGGCTGTGGGAAAACTACTTAAACTCTCTTTGCATATTTTTTTCTTCTGTAAAAAGGTGACATGGCACTTAACCATCTCTAAAGCCCCTTCGAGAGCTACAGTGCTTATAATTGCTTAATAAATAAGAATGGCTTATATGCTCTAAACCTGGTGAAAACCATGAGGTATGAGGTTTTGGACTCATAAAACAAAAGGCAATTCTCTCCTAACAACTGGGTAGAAATAATATCAGTAGTGGAAAGTATTTTATTGGAATATCACAAAATGAGTCTTGGCATAAATGGCTTATAGCTGTGCAGAGATAATATCAATAATTTCTTCAGTTTTGGGCATGGCTGGAGGCTCCTCACTCCCACCCCTCAGTTGTGGGCCTGATCCTTTTATCCAGAGTATGTAGAAATATAATTTTCCAAGTTTCAATGTGTAATATTAATGTATGCTTTCATGTATGTTATATTAAAAGGGTTGTGAAGCTCTGAACTAGTACAGAACAGTTAATAGTATAAACTTTAAAATCAGATGGGTTCTAATCCTGAATTTATCACTTATCAGTATCTCTGAATCCCTTTAAGCCTTATTTTTCCCAAAATGTAAAATGGTATCTATCTCATAGATTTATTGTGAGAATTAATGGAAAGGATAAAGAATATACTCAGTGCTCAGTAAGTGTTGCCCGTTATTGTTAGTCACAATTTTGGTAGTTATAACAAAACATATTGATGTAGTATAGAACATCTGTTAGTAAATAACTACAGATGAACTATAGATATAAATATCGTAATTCTCACGATTAGCTTCTATGGAGACCTCTGCTGGTTACCCAGTATTTCTGAACCTAGAATAGCGATGACTAGAATCCAGCACATTGAGAAATTTATTGGGCTAGAAGATAAGTAAAAGGAAGATATATATATATATATATATATATATATATATATATATTAAAATAGTGATATTTGAAAAGGGGTTCTCTATGCATAGGGACCAAATTAGGTCAGAGAATTGTGAAATTATTTGTGTTTAGGAGAACCTTGTGAAATGAGGTTATCTAGCTAAAGAAAACTCTTTAACTTAGAGGACTGTCCATGCACTACTACCCCTGCTCTCTTACTATCTATTCTTCCATCCTGCTCTCTTACTATCTATTCTTCCATCACTACCACTATCATTTCTACCTATTTACAAGTACCTACCTCAAGTTGGAAGTGGTTCTAGGCACATAAAACACTAAGGATTATTGCTAATAGTAACTTTAAAATAGTAACTTCATTATCATCTGGGATCTGTTGACACTGCCCAGGAGGTAGAAACATTGTAAAGAAGGCAGAAAGTGTAGGGATCCCCAGATCCCCGGCAAAGAGATCTTGAACTCAACTTAAAGTCATAATCAGAGTCGTAACAGTTCATTTATTTTTTTCTGACAGAGGCATGCTTCTGAGTTAAATGATGACAACATTGCAGAGTAAAGAAGGTGAGTCAAGAGTGAGGGGTTCACTTTGTACATCTTTTTCATTTTTCCCTTTTTTCTCAGCCCCTGGTCATTTGCACACTCTTCCCATCAAAGGGAAGCTCAGTTTACATATATTTTGTGCTCACTCTGTTAAAGTTACTACTTTTCTGGACACTTTGAGTGAAATATATATCACTTAGAAAGGAATATGTATGAACTCAGTGGGAGGGAAAAGATAGTTAAGTATCTATAACATAAATTTCAACATGGTAAATGTCATCAAAGAACAAATGTTATGGCAGCTCAGAAGAAGAGCCATTGCTGATGCCTAGCAGGATGATTGAATCACTTGTAGTTTTTTTGAGGGGGGGCTAGTTTTAATTTCCCGTAGAGTTTTGTCAGATTTAAAATTTTTTAAATTTAAAACTAACCTTATTGAGGGCCTCCCCGGTGGCGCAACGGTTGAGCGCTGGGTTGCGAAGCTGCCCGCAGCCTCTGCAGCGCCAGTTCGATCCCTGGCTGCTCCCTGGCTGCTCCCCGGGTGCTCCCCGGCCACCGGAGGAGGGTCCCACATGGCATGCAGACTTCTCCTGCCGCCCGCTGCTCCCCTCAGCAGTGTACTTCGTTCCTTCTGCCAGCTCTGCTCCCCGCTCTGGCTCTGGTGAATTCTCTCACCTTCCCGTGCTTCTGACTGTACCCAGTGCTTGTATAAATAAATAAATAAATCTTTAAAAAAAATAAATAAAATAAAATTAACCTTATTGTATGCTCATATTTTTAACCTTTGATTTACTGATTTACTTAGTGATTCCCAAACCTGATTGTGCATCAGAATCTACTGGCTAGATAACTTTGTAAAATTACAGACTCTTGGGCCTTATTCCAAACTATTTTATCAGAGTATTAAGGCAGGAGGGTAGGTAAGGAGAGGCCTAGGAATACGCATTTGTTAACATCTCTCTCCAGAAAATTCTGATATGGCGATTTCTATGTCAGACCCTATGTTTTTTTTCCTTTGAAGATTTATTTATTTATGCATGGAAGAACTGGGGTGTTGGCCAGAGGTGTGGGAGGTGAGAGGATTCATCAGAGTGGGGAGCAGAAAAGGCAGGCCCATGAAATACACTGCTAAGGGGGGCAGTGGGCAAGACAGGAGAGGTCTGCTGCACCATAAGTGGGTTAGCTCCCTGGCCAGACATCGAACTCATGCTGCAGCAGTCATGAGACTTAACCCCTGTGCCACCTGGGAAGCTCCCCCCACCCTGTGTTTTATAAATCCCATCTGATGATCAAATTTCTTTCAGAATGTGGGAAAGCACCAAAGAAAACCTTTGCCCCACCTGGACAAAAATCACGTAACCTGATACTTTATAGCACTAACTCACCCAAGGAGGGTACCCTGGGGATCAATTCCGCAGAGGCAGATGCCAGACCAAATCTGCTGAAAGCCAACTTAGAGAAGAAGGAGGAAAAAGCAACCACCAAGAATGGGCCAAGCAGTGGCCATGAGAAAAAAGGAAAGACTAAAGACAGTAAGCAAGCAAAGAAGAAAGAAAAGGTACCAGTTATTTTGCTGAGCTCTGGAGGGACAGTTTCTCCAAGAAACCCAGCCTAGAAATACAATTTTTTTATGTTGTGGAAATTCATCCTGTAATTTCAGCTTAATTCTTTTTTTGTGGCTTCCGTTTTCTATTTAAAGAGGTTAAAAATGTTTTGATGATAGCATTTCGCAGGACTTAGGAACTGAGTTATTAGGAACTGAGTTACCATGGAGGTGAACATAGACGTGAAAAGAGACTTTATAAACTTTGTTCTTTTGTTTTTGACTCCTTCATTCCCAGGAGATCTTGGATAGAGTTTATGGGGTACTTAGGTATGTTGACTACATACTTGCAGCCTTGTAAACTTGTTGCCTCATCTGAAGGAGGCTTCTCTGTTCAAAGAGGACTGGGGAAAGATGAGCAATATTTCCTCATCTACTCTTGTCTCTGCAGGAAAAAGCAAGTCTTACCAATGCGGAATTTGAGGAGATTGTCCAGATTGTGCTACAGAAGTCCCTACAGCAGTGCTTGGGTATGGCGAACATTGAGAGAAAAAGAGTTTCAGTTAGCACAGAAACTATTATCTGAGGGGTAGAGTAAGTTTACAGCATTCACTCTTATTTCTTAAGTAAGGAAATATTAAATGGGACTCTGAAATATTTTTAAATACTTCATCTTTTGTTAATATACAGCTTAACCACCTTAGGGGTAGATGTTTAGAAAAGTAGATTACAGTGACTTCAAAATATTTATAGATTCTCACCTAGATTTTTAAAGTGTAGTTTAAATTAATTTTTGTATGTTTGCCATCTACTTAGAAAAGATAAATTGTTTTCCCCAGTTTTGAAGAGCATAATTTCCATCTACTCTTGTATTTTTTTGTTTCCAGTGCTATTGTTTCTCTGCTATTCTCAGAGATTTGATTTTTAGAATTAAAAAACTCTACAGTACAAGTCCTGAGACTTTAACACTAGGGAGAAAGGCCTGGCATTTTCAGCTATGAAGTGTACTACTACTCATAGAAGAAATTTCAGGAACAAATGATAAAACATATTACATACAATTTCTGGTATGTACACAAAATTAAATGAACATTACCTGATTACCCTAAAATAAGGCAAATCAATCTGGAAGCGTCTGCTGAAGGATATATTTGTAGGTTTTCCTGAGACTTAAGGTTCTGTGTGACAGAAGTCCAAAGGCTCTTTCAGGAAACAGTTGGGAGACATTGCAGTGAAAAGTTACAGTTTGGAAATAATTTAGTGGTTATTTTCTTCAGTGGCTCCTCTGTTCATGTAGTGTTTTGTTTGGGGACGGATGAGATCTAGCCTTGATTTTGCAGAGACTTCCTGTGCCCAGCCCATATTATATACCCACTTAGACAAGGAACCAGAAATTGCTGCTTCCACTACTGATCGTGATAATGCTGATGGGTAAGTTCATCCCATTGAGGTAAGTTGATCATGGCATGGACTTAACATAGTAAATAGCTAGCTCTCTGGCTAGCTATTCATTTTTCATATCACTATAGATTTCTCTCACCTCAGGGAAGATATCTCTGAGTTGGGAAAATGGGCAAATAGATGACTAAAATGATCTTAGGAGGCTTTAGACAGCCTAGAGTTCTTCTAGCTTCCTTTCATCATTGGACTTTTTTGTTTTCAAAGGAAGTGTACTACAAAATTCTCCTTTTTAACATTTTCATTAAAAAATATTATTTTCAGAGTGGGGGTAAAGGTACCTCATATTCTAGAGATTTCAGCCTCTCAGGAAGATGGAGTGATCCCTGAGATAAAGACTTCTACAGCAGGCCAGCCAGATCCTGCACCCCCTGAGAAGAAATACAGTAGACCCTCCTTAAGCAAAAGAAAGAAGGAAACTCGTAAGTAGTCAGATATACTTCAATATTTGGCTCAAGAACACCAAAATTAGGGCCTTGGACAGTGCACAGGTTGAGAATTTTCAACCTAAGACTTGAAAGTATTAAGCTTTTACTGCTCTTTACTGTCTATAAAGAATCTCCTCTTTGTCTCCCCACCCTACAGTATTTTATTTTATCTTCCCAGATAATGAGAAAATGGAGAAAGCTCAAAGTGGACATGAACAAGAACAGAATGACCAGTCAAATACAACGGATCAGGGTCATTCTCAGATCAGGAGCCAACAAAATGGAGAGGGATGTGGTTTTGGTGAGTTTAGCCATGGTTTGGAAAACCTACTTGGGTTTGAAAATTAGGGATAAAGGAGAGAGGCAAGGATGTTAGGACATTCTGCAAAGACTGTAATTTATCTCTAACAGCTACTTATTACACTCTAACAGCTACTTATTACAAGATATGCTATTGAGGAAGAGAAAGAAAGAGTTCATTCAGTTATTCATATAGCCAATAGCTGTTGGGTGCTACTGTATACATCAGGCATATTAGGAGGTGTGGAGTAAATACAGAGCAAATGAAGGTAAGCGTGTTGCAAAGGAGATAGACTTATAGACGTCCTTTTTTTTTTTTTTTAAAGATTTATTTATTTATGTATACAAGCATTGGGTACAGTCAGAAGCATGGGAGGGTGAGAGAACTCCATAGAGCCAGAGCGGGGAGCAGAACAGGCAGAAGGACCGAAGTACACTGCTGAGGGGAGCAGCGGGCAGCAGGAGAGGTCTGCGCGCCATGTGGGACCCTCGCAGGCTGCCGGGGATCGAACCGGCGCCACAGAGGCTGCAGGCAGCTTCACAGCCCAGCGCTCAACCTCTGCGCCACCAGGGGAGGCCTGACTTGTAGACTTCCTTATGAGGAAGGTAGATAACGGAAGCTACAAAGAGTAGACCTGGAAAAGTTCCCAAGAGAAGATACTGCTCAAGTCAGATCTTGAGGAATAATCAGGCCAAGTAAGATGGGAATGGGGTCAGGGTAAGTTATTAGTAGTTATGGAGGATGCTAGTGGTTGTAGCTTTTAGGTGTGTTGGGGGTCAGGATTCAGGGGTGGTAGAGAGAAGACTAGAGGCATGTGAGGACTAATCATAAAGGGCTGCACATATTAAACTAAGGAATTTGGATTTCATTTTAAAGGTGAAGCGGAATCATTGACATTAAATAGTAGGGGAAAATTAGTAAGTTTTACATTTTAGAAAACTCGCTCTGACGCTAGTGTGGAAGACAGATGCGAGGGGCCAAGTTTAGACCATAGAAATAGTGATCCATGCAAGACAGTAGGATTGAAGAGGAATAGATAAATTTGAGATCTTCAGGAGGCAGGAGCAATGTGATATGATTGCCAGTTGCATATGAGAACCAAGAAAGAGTGAGGTCTCGGATATGATTCTGTTTTCTGTCATGAGTGACTAAAAGAACCATACTCTGTAATGGAAAATACAGAAGAAAGAGCAGGTTTTAGATGATGAGTTCAATTCTGGACTCATTAGGGAACATGTGATAAGATTTAGAACTTAAGAAAGAGGTCTGGGCTGGAGATACAAATTTGGGAGCTGCATCACTGGGGCTGGACAAAAATTTCCAAGTAGAGTAAGGATAGAGAAAGGGATGGTCTTAAAATATGTTTTGGAAGTAAAATTATCAGCACTTGGTAATGCATTGACTGTGGTTGGGGGTGAGAGAAAGGAGAGGGTATGTCAAAGAGGATTGGTTACATGAAAGGAGGTGGAGAAAGGCGGAGGAAGAACAAATTGTATGATAAGATCAAGGATTCAGTTTGAAGGCATTTAGTTTTCAATTGTTGTGAGACCTTCAAACTGAAATGTCAAAAGAACAAGGTAGTTTTTTTAGAACAAAAACTGATGATCTCTAACTTGTCAAGTATGAAAATGGATTTCAAAGTTATGGAAACGGATGAGCTTGCTTCAGGAAAAAGTGTAGCATAGGGAACAAAGACTTAGGAATAGGTCTTTGGTGCCCTAACATTTAGAGATTAGATGGAAAACCCAGTAAAGGATACTTCCTGGGACCTGCCAGGAAGATTGGAGGCGCAAATAGCAGAATGAGGGATCACAGAACCCAATGAAACTACTGTTTCAGATATGAGCAGTCAACTGAAATGCTCTTAACATGTATGTGTGACATCAGTCTTCATTATCATGGAGCTGCATTGTGAACCTCAGTTTGGGGAACACCTCTTCTAAATTGTTTGAAAGGAAACAAACTGAATTTTTCTGTCATTTGGGAATTTTCACCAACCCATAAATATCTAGTTCTATATCATTAGGACAAACATCCCCATTTTCTCGTGAATATTCATTATTTTCACAACCAATCACTTATTTGATTGATTTTTGTTCACTTTCTATGGTGCATAGCCCCTACCTCCACTTTTTTTTCTAAGATTGCCAGATCACCTCTATAAACATCCAAAACTATCATTTGGCAATTGTCTTTTCAGACTGATGTATTATTTCCAACCCCTCTTTATTCCTCAAAATAAAGTTATTGAGACAGTCATCTGTAAAATGAGATACTTTGGAAGAATTCAAATGTGAGTTAACTTGATTTTCTACAGGGTGATTTTAGTGGGGTGTAGGGCATTTAAGATAATATTTGACAGAAGAGTAAACTTACTTGAGAAACATGTTGGCAGATGTTGTTTGTTGTAAGTATATAGTATACCTGTATTCCTGGTTATGTGATGTTTTTTTCTTTAGTAACTCTCTACTGAGTAAGTGTAGGTGCCAGAAAGGTAGAGTGGGTTCATTCAGGGTTGTGTTTTGCCAGCTGATTGGGAGGAAGGACAGGGAATGGGAGTGGAAAATGTCTGAAAGTGCATCTAAGGAATCAAACCTGAGTAAGTAGAGGGTGAAGCAAGGAGATTGCTATCAAATATAGAGGAAGGTAGGATCCAGAGGGTTGGAAACCTAGATAGGGTGACAGTTGCTATAGGGGTATTTGAGCAAGTGAAGTGGAAGGACAGAGAGTTCCTGTCGTAGAGATGGTTAGATAAGTGGCCCAGGGGAGTATACAGTTGCTCTGTATGACTTAGTGGGCCATGCAGGAGTGGTGTGGAGAAAAAGATCAGGAACTCAGAATTAGGGTGCCTGGTGTGTTATTCCTGTGGGAATCTTGGTCATCTGAAATTAGGACAGAAGGTGGAAAGTGGAGAGGAGGAGGAAAAGGTTGAACCAGATGCCAGCATCTTTGTAATGGAGATGAGAGGGTAGTGTAATCCCAGGGCAGATGGCAATGGTCTGGAAAAGGCAGTGGGAAGTGAGGGTGATGATATCCCTGTTTTCTGGCTGGAGAGATATGGGATATGTGAAAAGGAACTGACTACTTGTAGGGATGTAATTTGAGGCATGGTCAGGTAGGGGCAATTATCACTAATGAGTCACTCGGTTTCAAAAAGGAGGTAGAGGTTCTGAGAAGAGGTTGAACAAGGTTGTCCTTGTCTGGATTTCAAAGAGCATAGTGGAAGGGTTTGGGAGGGATAGAGGAGAGCCTGTACAGGCCATTGGGTCAACTTAGAAGATAGGGGAATAGAGAAAGGTTAGGATGAGGACTTGGAAGGCAATGGGTAAAAGAAATGCTTGGTGCTTTAGCAGAGCTTGAAGTAAATATAAATAATTGGTTGAAAAATGTAGGCTTATATCTGTGTCTTTTGGAAGGTGGTAAACTCAGGGGCTGTTGGTTCTTAAAGTAAATTAGTTGAGGTTTGGTGACAGGTAAATTAGTTGAGATTTGGATACGAATTCTGGTTAACCCTTCAAAAATGCTTTTCAGTAGTTATATGCCAGCAGAGAACAGGCACTGGCTAGAAATATGCCAGGCAACCTATTTAAGAATTGTCTGTCAATTTTTGTGTCAAGGGAGGCGTGACTATATAGCATGGCATAGGAGAAAGACTGAGATGTGAGACCTGGGTCCTAACTTCAGCTGTGCCACTGATTTTGACTAATTTTTAGCAAGTCAGTTATCTTCTCTGAGCTTTAATTTTCCCATTTATAAATCAGTGGATTAGTTGATTTCTAAGGCTGTGTGATTCTGTGTGTGATACTGATTTTAGTTGGATTGAAGAAGGAAGAGCATATTTTTTTGAGTCTCTTATTTCCATTTTGTTTTTCTGTCACAGGTCAATGTCTAGTCTGGGTCCAGTGTTCCTCCCCACTGTGTGGGAAATGGAGACGACTGCGTGGGAATATTGACCCTTCAGTCCTCCCGGATAATTGGTCCTGTGACCAGAATACAGGTAAAATGGAAAATATGTTTTTCTCAAATTTTTATTGTTCTTCCCTTTTTTTCTCTGCATATATCATTTAGATTAAATATGATAAAGGTATAGTCAAGGATCCCCTCCAGGAGTCTGTAGGGAAGGGATCATCCTGTCATATCAAGAAGAATCTGGCCATTCTGAGCTGAAGAAAGACATCCTGATGAGTTAAATTGTGGGGAATGACTGGGAATCTTTTGTGAATTCTGTCTTATTCAGCATTGGTCTGACCATTAATCTTTTTTTTTTTTAAGATATATTTATGCATACAGGAGCTGGGGTACAGGCCAGTGGTGCGGGGTGGGGTGGGGGCGAGAGGATTCACCAGAGACAGAGGGGAACAGAACAGGCGGACTAACCGAAACACACCACTGAGGGGAGCAGTGGGCGAGACAGGAGAGGTCTGCTGTGCCATGTGGGTTTCTCTCTGGCTGGCCAGGGATCACATTCGTGCTGCAGAGGCTGCAGACTGCTTCATAGTGTGGTGCTTAACCCCTTGCACCACCAGGGAGGCCCTGACCATTAATCTTGATTAGGTTGTTGGTTTTGGGTTGGAGGATAGGAAGGGAAATAGGATATATGAGGAAAAGTAGGTGAGAGAGATCCAGTGGCTTAGAATTCTATAATGTTCAAAACTACTTGGAGGAGATTATGATGATTTAGTCTAACCCAGTTATTTTACAGATGAGGAAATAAAATCTTAGAGAAATGACCATTATGATGTTACATAGATAGAAGCAGGTTACAATGTGGATACAGGCAGATGTTTAGCATCTCCGACTTAGAGTGTAAGGCACCTACTCTGATTCTAGCTGCTTTCCTCCATTGGTCTTTGTTCATCTTTCTCCATGTCTGCTTCCTAGGTGCTCTTTTGGTCCCACTTGCTGCATATACCACTATATACTTATCCTTATCTGCCCTCACCCAGATTTTCACTTTATGAACCTCCCCCCAGCTCTTCATTCCTTCTCTTTTGGCAGACTTGGCGCATAATCGCTGTGATATCCCTGAGGAGATCTGGACTGGACTTGAGAGTGATGTGGCCTATGCTTCCTACGTCCCGGGATCCATCATCTGGGCCAAGCAATATGGTTACCCCTGGTAGGGCACCGTGGCATAGTCAGACCGTCCCTCATGAAGCTAGGAGAGGTAGATTCAAGCAGGAAGGGAAGGAAATGGAAAGAATTTATAATGGAAACAATACCTGCCTTAGAAACCATATGTGGCAAGGGAGAGGATAAAGTATCAAACTTACAGGCTTTGAAAAAGCATATTTTCTAGAGGGTGCTTGGCAGAGGTGGTATCTCCCTGGAAAAAAGGGTCTGACAGTCCTACAATGAGTGGGTAGAGAGGGGACGGTGGCTCTAAAGTAGTTTTAAAATATTGAAATATGAGAGAGATACAAAAGAGAATAGGAAGAATAGGCTAGTTTCTTTGGAGGGCTTTTCTTCTCAGGGTTGCTGGAAGGCTACAAGGATAAGATGCTTTTACTGGGAGGATTCTGGACTTGTCTTTACATTGATAGAAGTCATGTATAATATGTCTGTCATTTGGTAGTGATTTACATATTGGTCTGTCTTTGGGATTCTTTTTTTGCAAAAACATATGGTCCCCTTTACAGGTGTAATGATGAGTTTGTGTTCTCATCTTCCATCCCTTATACCCCTCTATTTTCTCCAGGTGGCCAGGCATGGTAGAATCTGATCCTGACCTGGGGGAATATTTTCTTTTTGCTTCACATCTTGATTCCCTACCGGTGAGTTTTCCAGTTCCAGGGTAGGTAGGTACTGAGGTTAAAATAAAGTGTACAATGTTGGAAACAGCGACACAGCCAGCAGATATGAGCAGAAACAGACCCTCAGATAGCATGATAAGTGCAGAAATAAGTACTCACATACAGCAAGAACTCGTATCTAATTAAATATTCACTACTAGGATATTTATGGTTTTGATAAATATGCTTTGGTTAGGATTCCTGAGGTTAGGATGGAAGAATAATGGAGTGATATGGGGTGGGCAGGTCAAGTTTAAGGGAGCAAATGAGGCTCAGCACCTCCTTTGTGGGACCTCTCTTCTTCCCCTATCTTTTCTGGCTGGGAGGACAAAGCAGGGAGAAGGACAAGCAGACATAACAGAACCATATTTTATTTCAGTCTAAGTACCATGTGACCTTTTTTGGAGAAACAGTCTCTCGTGCTTGGATCCCAGTCAACATGCTAAAGAACTTCCAGGAGCTTTCCCTGGAGCTAACTGGAGTGGTGAGCAACCCTTGGGTATCAGCTGTGACATAGGGAATTTGAAAACTAAAACTGATTTTCTCCCAGGGGACTCTTTCAGGAGAAAGTCCCATGTCTGACCTAGTATGCAAGGGTGAGGATATTCATGAGGGTCTGTTATTTCTACCAGAATTGTGGCAGAATAATTATTTTTCTTTTTTTTTTTTTTTTGAAAAAAAAATTTTTTTAAAGATTTATTTATTTATACAAGCACTGGGTACAGTCAGAGACATAGGAGGGTGAGAGAATTCACCAGAGCCAGAGCGGAGAGTAGAACAGGCAGAGTGACGAAGTACACTGCTGAGGGGAGCAGCGGGCGGCAGGGGAGGTCTGCACGCCATGTGGGACCCTCACCAGGCGGCCGGGGATCGAACCAGTGCTGCAGAGGCTGCGGGCAGCTTCACAACCCAGCACTCAACCGCTGTGCCACCGGGGAGGCCCAATAATTATTTTTCTTAGTATCCTTCCCTGCCTGCAGATAGGGGGGCTTCCTGAAACCATGATTTTCTGCACTTGAGCAACAGCAGGAGTGACAGAAATGAGGGCACAGATTAACTCAGAGTTATCAGTCTTGGCACTATAGAAATTTTGGGTCAGATAATTGTGGAGGGCTCTCCCAGACATTGTAGGGTATTTAGTAGCATCCCTGGGCTCCACTGGCATCTAACCAGTAGTATTCCCATTCCTAGTTGTGACAACCAAAAAAACTCTCCTTGGTCATTGCCAAATATCTTCTGGGGAACAAAATCTCCCTGGTTGAGAACTACTGAATTAACTAAATAATATTTCTTCCTTCTGATCACTCTGGGTTTGACCAGCCTTAACTATGAGGAAGACCCAGTAACTCAGGGACCTCAGAAAATCAGACAGTTAGATCTAAAGAAACTAAAACATCATTTAAAATCATCATCTGAAACATCATCATCTAAAAACATTATCTGAATGCCTTTTACTCTTGAGATTTCAGATTTCCACAGGATTTACTTTGGATAGGACACCAAAATGTTGATTGAAAATATTTCTAGGTGTTAATGAAAGTTTTGTTGTGGGGTGGGGGAGGATTGTGTCTCCGAGCTCAAAAGATGTAGACATATCAAATCAGTGCCAGGAACCAGTAACAAATGTAGTTAAAGATAATGTTTGGTGAATAGCAGTATGTTGGGATCACTTCTCTACTATTTATCATTGACTTTAATATTCTGTTTCAGAAAAAGTGCAGGAACAGGGACTGCTGCCAGAAATTGGGGGCAGCCTTGATGATGGCTCAAGAGGCAGAGCAGATCAATATCGAGGTGGGGGAATGTACAGACCACATCCTGCTCCCTTATGGGACTTGGGACACAAAAGCAGACCATACACTCTGATGTAGAAAATTGGCTTGTCCTTTCCCATTACACTATCTTAGTTTTTGGACTGGTCTTTTCTTTCCATGCCAGATGCCCATGAAAAGAAATTAGCCATTCTTTTTCCTACCCTGGCACAAATGGAATCTTCTCTCAACCCTGGATAGAGAGTTTCTGGTAGTGGACATTGTACCCCCTTATTTAACTTCATGTTTCAGATTGTATTGTAGATATACTTTTCAAGATTCAGTACATACTTTAACCTCCATTTTACGTGGAGTTGGTTTTTACCCTCAGATTCTGCCTTTCGGAGTGGGGTAGAGAATGATAAACGATGAATTTCCCTTTCTCAGTTATTAACTGAAATATATATAAACCGGAAAGGGAGATTACAATAATGTTATAAGGATATATTACAATAGTTAAATCACAAAAATCTATATAAACCTAATGTGAAATTTCAAGTGAAAATGGTATGGAATATAAATGTAAATTTTGTAACTAAAATCTAGGCTGTAAAGGACCAAACATTTTTGGGGACGGTAATGGATGATGCTTTGTTTCTTGGTTCCCTCAGGAACGTGTTAACCTGTTTGGTTTCTGGAGCCGTTATAATGGATCTGACAATAGTGAGGAAAGAAAAGGTAGGAAAAGTAGGAAGACTGCTTTGGTGAGGGGGCATTCCTTCATGGGAACTGCAACTGAAAGTTCATTTCACTCTCCCTTCTTCCTTAATATGGACACTGAGGATACTCTTTTTTTTTTTTAAGTAATTTTTTAAAAAAGATTTAATTATTCATGCATACAAGAACCAGGATACAGGCCAGATGCAGGAGGGTGAGAGGATTCACCAGAGACAGAGTTGGGAACAGAACAGCAGACTGACCGAAATACATTGCTGAGGGGAGCAGCTTAGTTCTGGATTCTATATTAGGAGGCGCTTCACGAATGCCATACCACGTGTAGGGGATGGGTGTATGGATGGGTGAGTAGATGGATGGAAATAGGAACGGAGAAAAAAGGAAGTGTAGAGGGAGTGTGCATACAGAATAGTAATAGACCTTTTAAAAGTATGCATACATTGTACAAGAATGAAAAATGATTTAAAAATATATAAAATAATAAAGTATGAAATCATGAGGATCTTGAATCATGTATTATGTTGAAAATACCATTGATCATGACGTTTGGACTTGGAAAACAGATTGTCTGGTTTGAACTCCTTAAACTGATCACTTATTTATAGGATAAATGACTTAGCCTTTCTTTCCTATTTCTCTTTTAGATGTAACAATCTCTGGGTCTAATAGCCCAAGTCCCTCCTTAGAGAAAGAAGAGGAGGAGTCAGAATTGGATGATGAGGAGAAGGAGGAAGAGAACAAAGTAAGAATGATTTTGGGGATTCCCTTTTGGAAATTTCTATAGGGCATCTGGTTAGCATGGATTTATATTTACTAAGAAACCATCTTGTTCTGCCTCAGGGTAGTTCTGACAGACTGTTCTTATCACTGAAGAGTCTCCTGGGAAGGAAACTTCCTTTTTCTTCAGTTACTCTCTAATGTCTCAGATCTCTATAAATTTATTTCTTGATTATCATCTTAATTCATATTATAGTTCTTTGGTTCTGACTGGAGCAGTTTCATAGAATAGCAGGTTCATTTCACTCTCCCTTCTTCCTTAATATGGACACTGAGGATACTCTTTTTTTTTAAAGTAATTTTTTAAAAAGATATTCATGCATATAAGAACCAGGATACAGGCCATTTGCGCGGGAGGGTGAGAAGATTCACCAGAGACAGAGCAGGGAGCAGAACAGGCAGACGGACTGAAATACACTGCTGAGAGGAGCAGTGGGCGAGATAGGAGAGGCCTGCCGCACCACGTGGGTATCTTGCCTGCCAGCCAGGTTCGAACCCACGCTGCAGAGGCTGCAGACAGCTTCACAGCACTGCACTCAACTGCCTGCGCCACCAGGGGGAGGCCTTCTGGGGATACTCAGAGGTGCCACTGGGGATACTCCTTCATTGTTTTCTTAGTTTCTTTTGAGGTATATTAAGCAGACATTGTTTTTCATATTTGAAGACTTTTTTTACAATGGTTTTATGTTCACAACAAAATTGAGAGAAAGGTTACAAGGAGTTTTCACATGCCCCCTGTCCGCATACTTGCATAGTTTGCTCCATTATCAGCGTCCCCCACCAGAGTAGTTCTTTTGTTTACAATTGATGAACCTACATTGCCATATCATAATCACCCAGTGTCCACAAATATATAATGATATGTAAACATAGACAGAACAGGATGTTTAGAATGGGTAGAAGTTGGGTATTTCCCTTCCCTCAGAACTATTAGGATCTGATTTCACCCTAGTAGTTTAGGCTCTGGTTAGTGAGTTTCTCCTGAGGGCAGGCCTTGATAATGGAATGCTCTGTACATTTCAAAGTGTTTTCTTTTCCCCTGCCCCAGAAGCATGAAGGGATTTTTCTCTGATATTTTCTATGAGAATCTGGCTCCTGGGGGGTAAAACCCATGGAAGTCTAGTAGCTCACCATTACTGTGTCCCCCTGGAGTTTTCAGCTCTTCACTTGTCTACACTGGACCTCCAGCAATTCATTTATTACTGCCAAGGTTTTGGTATCCTGGCACTGGTTTCTAACCTGTTTTTTCCTTGTGAGAGTCTGTTCTGGCAAGCCAGGACTCTGTATTTACCTCTCTATCTTGAGGGCAGCAATTTGCCTTGTTTGCTCCTGTCACAGATCCAAGAAGAGTTGTTGATTCTTCAGTCTCTTCAGCTTTTCAGGTGTTAGAACAGAGTGGCAACTTCTAAGTTTCTTACATGCAAGATTGGAAACCAGAAGTTCTGAATACAGATTTTTCACCTCTTTTTAATTTACCAATTTTTATCTTGTTTGTGGCCTACCTTGATTTCCTTCTCACATGCATGAAACCTTGTATTGACTAATATCAAATAGTCAATACTATTTGATATTACTATTTGATAAGGAATGAACATCTTTTTTGCCATAGATTTAAACTGTTTCAGGCTTACAGGACCTAAGTTGACTCCCATAAACATACTCTTCATTTCTGTAGCGTCCCACTCTATTAAAAACATGATTATGTGACTTCATTTATTTTTCTTATTGTTCTCTCCAATCCTCAGGACCCACCTTTACCCAGTCCTAAGCCAACAAAAATCCAGACCAAAAAACCCAAGGTAAGAGGTAAGCATCCAGGGGACAAGCCACATACAGTTACAGCAGGGCAGAAACAGTGGAAGGGGCCTTTAGGTAGACCTTACTGATCACCTCGGTTCCAGAACCTGAGAAAATAGGCAAGACTCAGGTCAATGTCATTAGGGAAGTTGTAGCCTCCTCACTTCTGTGTATTGAATTATAGAATCATAGTTTAAAGGTAGAATGAATGTTTTAAAATTTTAGTCAAGAAGAATGACTTCCTGGAGAATGCAGGATCTGAGGACCATAAAGTAAAGAAGATCCAGGAAAAATAAGAGAGATGATTGGGGAAAGGATGGAATTGAGAGAACTCAGCAGAGTGAGAATGAGCAGAAGGTGCAGGGCAGAGACTAAATGTGGGAGTCCAAACTATCATTTGGAGAGAAATAAACCAGTGTTTTTGATTGGGGGTGTGGGTACAGACAAAGCAAATGGACAAGTTGGGACCCTGCAAAGAAAGATGATGAAGAGATTTCTGGGAGTTGAATCCACAGCTCCTTCTCTACCCATAATGGGAGGAAAAGAAGGGCAAGCAGACTCAGATCGTGACCAGCCAGGTAAGTTTCAAGGCTTGGGAAAAATTAACTGAGTTCATATTTGCATTTCCCCTTCTTGGATCATTTCTTAACAACTCTACATATTTTTTTTGTGTGTGTGTGCTTTAAAAAGAACAAAGATTAGGGCCTCCCTGGTGGCGCAGGCGGTTGGGCGCTGCATTGTGAAGCTGTCGGCAGCCTCTGCAGCGCAGGTTCAATCCCGGCCGGCCAGCGAGAATCCCACATGGCACAGCAGACCTCTCCTACTGCTCCCCTCAGCGGTGTATTTCGTCAGTGTGCCTGTTCTGTGCTCTGTCTCTGGTGAATCCTCTTACTCTCCCACGCATCTGGCCTGTACCCTGGTTCTTGTATAAATAAATAAATCTTTCAAAAAAAAAGATCAGGCGAAAGGGCACCTTTCAGATTATAGAGTGCAGCACACACTATATAGAAACATAATGGTATTGATTTTATTTACTCCATGGATAAGAGATTGGTGAGGAGGTAGGAGCTCAAGGTTTTTGATTTTTGAAATGCTCTAGCTATATAGACAACTTCTATGCATGTTCCCTTTAATTATTTGAATATCGTTATGATTGGAAATTTCTCTTTTTAACGATGAGACAGGCCTAAAAGGTTTAAATGATACTAAAATTTGCTTAAGCCCCATGGCATACATCTAATCCATGGCTTAAATCCAGATTTTCTGAGTTCAAAGCTTTATTTTTTTTCTACTGAGAAAGGTAATCTTTTTCAGAGATTTCTTGAAAATAGGAATTTAGGAATTTGATCTACAAAAGAAAGGATAGATGACCTAATAGGTCTCTTAATTTAACCACTTTTCACATAGGTCCTAAGAAAAAATTTAAAGCTCTCCAAAGCAAGGCCTCAGAAACCAGCTCGTCTGAGAAAAAAGAAGCAAGAATTGTGCCAAAGGGCGAGACCCCACCAGCTCATTGTGCAACCTGTCCTGTGGTAGGGCAAGAAGAACCTGGACCCCAGGAGCTTCAGCCTCAGGAGGATGGTGGTGTCCCCCCTCATGATGAAGCCTCCAGTGACCTGGATGTAGACCAACTCATGGAAGAGGTTGGAGAGGAGCCGCAGCAGAGAGGTGGTGCAGAGGAGTTCACGACGGCTTTCTTTGAGGAGTAGATGTGTGCTCTCATATTCGCACACCCCTTTCCCTGGGAACAGGAGGGAGAACCTCTTAGAAGGGTCTTTGAGAAATTAAGTGTTGGATTTGTTCATTGTCTGCAAGGTTAATTGACTAAAGTCAGAGTTGTGTAGTTTATGTGTTAATAAAACAGTTTGCTGGTTTAATTGGTTCATCGCTAGCCAGATGCTTTCTTTTGGCTTCTCTCCCTCTCCTTCTAGTTCACTGTGGCACACCATAGTTTCTGGTAGAAGGCTAGCATAGCACAATACAGGAATCTGGTAGGTAACAACACCTGAGTTCTAGAAGGACATTGAGAAGGGCAGACTCAGGTTCATTTCTTGGGTCACCACTTATGATGTCTTAGGAAAAGCACTGTTACCATTCTGGTTCTTTTCATGCCTCAAATTGGCACATCTGATACCATCCACATAGGGTTGTGAATGTTTAAATGAGGTGATACATGTAAAGCCCTTTACTGCACACCTTAGTTACTATTATAAGGAAATAGAACAGGGACCACCCTGGTGGCACAAGGGGTTAAGATGCAACTCATGAAGCTATTTGTAGCCACTGAAGCACGAGTTGATCCCTGGCCGGCCAGGTAGCTGACCCACATGGCGCAGCAGACCTTTCCTGTCTCGCCCACTGCTCCCCTCAGCAGTGGATTTCAGTCAATCCACCTGTTCCAATCCCCACTCTGTCTCTGGTGGATCCTCTCAACCCCCTATACCTCTGGCCTGCACCCCAGTTCTTGTATGCATAAAAAAGTAAATCATAAAAAAAAGGAAATAGAACAGATTAGGGGGCTGGGGAACAGAACTTGGGTTCCTGACTATCAGTTTGGGGATTTATTATTCCCTGGCCTGAGATAGTCACAGAACAAAGCTACTCAAGGATGGTAGCTTCGAGTTCACTGTTGGCTAGAAGGACAGAAGTTAGAGGTGACATCAGTTTTCTTAAATGCATTGAGGCAAATTCTTGGGTACTTTCATTTTTATAGGTGACAACAGGAAGCTGAAGAGGGAACTGGAGCAGATGGTGTTTCTCTCAGGTCCTTAGTGGTCTTCAGCGCATGCTGGCTTCTGAGTCCTGTATGTCTGGCTGGGGTTATGGGAAGCCGTGATCCTTCTGTGCAGCTTACTCCAGGGAGGTCATTCAGTCCCACTCCTTAGGCCTTTAAGGTGGAGTATAGGGTCACCTCCTGGGGGCTCCCGTTGGGAGGTGTTGCTGGTGAGGTTGAACTGGAGATGGTGAGGGAGGCATAGAGAATTCCATCATCCTGAATGAGAACCAAGAGAGGGCGATTAGTCAGTGGAAGTGAGGTGGGTGCTGTCCCTTCCCTAGAGCAGACACCACACCTGAGCATCCTGTCCAAACCACAGTCCCTCATCTTCCCACCCAACCGTCTCCAGACTCCCCTTTCATGTTTTCAGGCCCTACTCTGAGCTATTTACCTTGGGGTCCAGCCTGGGGTCTGTACGTTGTCCTAGGGAGAAATCATTGTGCCAGGTCAGTGGCATGCCAGCCGAGGTAGAGAAGTGGACAGGGGCTCCTGTAGTGAGGTCATCTGCTAGGTCAGGACCAGGGTCACATGGGAGGGGTGGATGAGGATGGGAGAGAATGTGGCACACATGTAGGGAGGGGTGTGTGGGGAAGAAGGAAGGGCCAAGACTGAGGGGGGAGTGATGAGGAAGGGACTTACCTTTATGCCCAGTGTTCTGTTCCTCCTCACTGTTTTGGAAGGATCCCCTGCGTGGGACCAAGAGGGCAGGAAATGTGTTAGAGGCCAGGCACAAAAGAATGAAAACCTCCTTGGGGACGGGTTCTCCTTGTGCGGACTCTGCGACCCGAGACTGCAGCATACTCAGGCGGATGCAGTGGTTTTAGCTCTCAGAAGGGGATGCCTGGAGAGGACTGAGAGGAGAAATGAGGTTCCTGAGTGCCCACTGGGGGGGATTGCTCTAGAGAAGCTTTTGTTGGAGGGGGCACGGGGAAGGAGGCGGAAGGACAAACTCCTGCCCCTCTGTTGTAGCACCATGGACACTGAGGGAGACTATTTCAAGGGCCTCTAGGTGGGTGCCTAAGCCTTAGGGCAGGAGGAGGTGCCTTTCTGTCAGGGAACCCAAGGAAGGCAGCAAGCAAATTTTGGGGGGAAGGGAGGCTGGGAGTGGGAGTGGGGCAGTATGGCAATGAGAAGAGTGGAGAAAAGGGAAGAGCTGTGGGTGAAGAGGGAAAGTACGCAGGAGAGGAAGTGGGGGAGCAGGTGCAAGGCACAGGCCCATGGAGGGGGTGGTTTGCTCTGAGGTAAGATGGCTGGCAGGGGTGCTGAGGGCAGAGGAGCATGTGGACTCTTGAGTGACACCAGGTGGGGCAATAAACAAGAAAAAGGACAAATTGGAGAGAGGGAGATGTATTTGTAAAGATAAACAAGGACAAGCAGAAAGAAAAGCTGAGAAGGGGATGAAAGGTAGACGAAGGGGGCACCAGAGGAAAGGAGCCATTCTGGAAAAGTGCTGGAAGCCCCGGTTCACTTATGTTGTGTTGTTTTTTAAGGAGAGGGAGCCTCAGGAAGTGAGGGGCCTGGCCTGTTGGGGGTCATCTGAGGTAGTAGACAGGCAAGTAGAGCTTTTCTCATGAGGAAACCTCCCGCTCCTCAAAGCAGCCCTGACGCCCTAGAGGACAGACTCTCACCTGGCCGGGGTTCTGACGCCAGCGCGCAGACCTGTGGGGAGACCAGCAGCGTGTCAGTGTGGCGCCCGCAGACACCCTCGTCCTGTCCTCTGTGCTGCTCTGCTGGGACCATCCTTGGAGAGGCCAGCAGTGAAGCAGCTCTGCCGACACGCATCTGGGAAGGGCCTGGGCTCGGAGCTGGCACCTGCTGGCACCCTGAGGCCACCCACCCCGTCCTGCTCCTTTCCTCAACCACTGGTGAGGACACCCGCTCTTCTCTGGTGGGGCCCCCTCCCCCCGTCCTGCCTTGCTTCCTTCTCCCTCCGTTCAGCCCCTCCTGCTCCCTGGACCTCCACCCCCTCCTTCCCTCTGACCACCGGCACCCTGACAAACCAGCCTCTGGGCTTTCCTGCGGAGGGCGGCTCATTCCCTCTGCCATCTGTGGACCTCATGGCTGGAATCGGTGTTTGCACTGCAGTCCCTTCCTAGTCACCTCTGTCCTCTGCTGACACCCCTGTGGGGCCTGTGCCCTCTCCCTCCACCCCCTTCCTGAAGTGTCTCCGCAGTGTTTCCCAGGGACTCGGCCCCAGTTCACACACACCCCCGCCACCACCCAGCACCATCCTGGCGGTCTCATCATAAAGGGACAATCCTCTGAACAATCCCCCAATTGTAAAAAACGTCACTTCCACTCAGCCTTGCCCTGAACTTTTTTTTTTTTTAATCTCTGGGATGAAGAACTCTGAAATATTAAGTGCTTGTTTCTTGTTTATGCCACATCTTTCCTCCTAGCTCTTCTCTCATCATCCTGCCACCTATGGTTTGGCCCCACTGGACTCTTGTCCCTTGATAACCCACTTCAGGTCATCCATACTCCCTGCTGAGCCCTCTACCCTCCGTTCCTCCTTGACCACCTGTGCTGTCATACTTAGCTGACAAATTTCCAATGCTGGATGTCCTGTGGCAGGGAACACAGCTTGCTTACTCAAAATCCATTTACTTCTTATTCAGTAACAGAACCTGAATTTTATTTAGAGCATCAGTGTGTTCCCCCACAGATAGATGTGGGACAGACCACAAAATTCTACCCAATAAGGTACAGGGGAAATTGTGGGTAGGATTTTCAGGAAGTTTCTTTAAAAGGCGGACACCCAACTGAGTGTAGACTTTTTGTCTTTTTCCAGCTGCTTTCTGTCTGGAACCCAAAAATAATGGCTAGAGTTATAGCAGCCATTCTGGGTCGCAAGACGCCTTCAGGATAGAAGCCATCATCCAGCACAGTGAGCAGAAAGTTGGGAGCCTGAGTGCCTAAGGATGGGGTCTGTAGATCCTCTTACATGAGGAACTTCTTCTGGGAAGTCCTCCCTCTTACTTCTCTTTCCTCCCAACCTACCACAGCATTTTCCTTGTGAGTCACCCGCCCCCCAACTCATCCTCCACTACTGAGTTCCCTGAAAGTGGAAATCTAGGTTTTATTTACTGTTGAGTCTCCAGTACAATCCTGGCCTGGAATACAGTCTCTTAGTGCTTGCTAAGGTAGTCAAATTCCTTCCCTTCTCCTCTCTCCTTGCTTTTGTCAGACCAGATCCCACCCTCCAAAGATCCCACCCTCCAAGAACTAAAGGGTGAAGACTGAGGAGAAATGATTAAGTCAAGAGACTTGATTGGGAAATGATCAATTTATGGAGAGGGATGGGTCTAGAGTGGTGTTTCTCAAAGTTGATGAGGCACAAATATCATTTGAGGAGACTGTTAAACACTGAGATTCCCAAGCCCAGACCCCAGGTCCAGCAGGATCTGTATTTTGAATGGCACCTGTGGTCATTCTGATTCGGGCAGGTGTGAGAAACACCTGCTGGGAAGCCTGGGGAGAGGGTGGAGGTCCTGGACACTTACCTTTGTTTTTCTTCCACCAGAAGTAGACACTCAGTCCCAAAATCACAGTTATGAGCACAGCACTGGCCAGCGCCACTCCTACCATAGCTTCCAGACTCAGGGGCTGAGGCCTCGCGCTCCCGTTGCCAGCACCAAGTCCACGTGTGGTGGAGTCTGCGCAAGTGGCAGGGCCCAGGGTGGTAGTTTCACTAGCTGAGACGACATGAAAAACAAGCAATTTCTGCCCTGGAGAGGGGATAAAACTGTCACATCTTATTCCCTAGTTCGGGGTTTTGGGAATGAGGGGAACTTCAGGCTTTCATACAGGGAAGGAAGAAGGTGAGATGCCGAAGACTCAGAAACAACTTCACCCAGTTTTTTTTTTTCTTTTCTAGTGCCCTATATATATATATATATATATATATATATATATATATATTTTACAACATCCTTCATTTTTGTACAATGTATGCTTTTTCCTCTCAGGTGTCATCCCTGTATAATTCCCACCACCAATTCACCCGGGCGCCATCACCATAGTCCCTTGTGCTCTTCCCTCCCCTGTTTTGATCCCTCTCCCTCTCCTTTTCCCTCCCCTGCTGAATGTCTCTGGTTTATAGTTGCCTGTTGATTTTGATTTTTAATTTATTATAATTCATATTTTTTCCTGATCACTTATCTGGTTTCTCTACATTCCTCACTTCACCCAGTTTACTTATTTATTTATTTATTTTTGTGGGACCTCGCTGGGGGCCGGGAAATGATCCGGCGCTGCAGGCAGCCTTGCAGCCCAGCGCTCAACAGCTACGCCACCAGGGGAGGCCCCTTCACCCAGTTTAAATCCTACTCTACCACTGAGCATTTCATCACCTACAAGCAAGGATAACTAATCACAGGGTTTAAAACAATTTTATTGTGGTAAAATATGCGAAACATGAAATTTACCACTTAAACCATATTTAAATATACAGTTCAAGTGGCATTAAGTCCATTCACCTTGTGCAGTCAATACCACCTTCCATCTCTGGAACTTTCTCATCTTCCCAAACTGAAGTTCTGTCTCTATTTAGCAGTAAGTCCCCACTGTATCCCCCAACTAGTCCTGGAACCACCATTCTACTTTCTGTCTTTGTAACTTTGCTTCTGAAAGTACTTCATATAAGTGGAATACGTTATTTGTCCATTCACATGATTTTTTAAAAGATTTATTTTATTTTTATTCATGCATGCAAGATCTGGGGTATAGGCCAGAGGTGCAGGGGATGGGAGGTTGGGGGTAAGAGTTTTCACCAGAGACAGAGTGGGCAGCGGAAAGGCGGATTGACTGAAATACGCTGCTGAGGGGAGCAGCAGCTGAGACAGGAGAGGTCTGCTGTGCCATGTGGGTCAGCTCCCTGCCTGGGGATCTAACTCGGGCTTCAGTGGCTTTGGATAGCTTGATAGCGCTGCAGCTTTTAACCCCTGTGCCACCAAGGAGGCCCTACATGATTGTTTCAATAAGTGAGAGACATCAGTAAAATGGATGTATATCTTTCCATAATTATATATTAAATTATTATATATTGAGTTAATATTGAACTTTAGTTCCTGCTAACAGATTGTATTTTGTAAATGTTTACAGACCCATCAAAAAACTGACATACTAAGTCACAGAAAAAAATCTAGTGTCAATAAAAGCCAATAAAATCTTTAGATTAGTGTGTACAAAATTCTCTGTCCATTCTACTTAGAAATTAATAATAAAAGTGTAAATACCAATTCTCAACTGAGATAAAAAGTTTTAACTACTTAGCCAAGGAAATAGATTCATAGTAACATGCTATTGAGAAAATAAACACCAGAGGGCTGCAGCCTCTGCAGTGCTGGTTCCATCCCCACTGGCTGGTGATGGTCCCACATGGAGCAGCAGACCTCTCCTGACTCCCAGGCTACTCCCCTCAGCAGTGTATTTCAGTCAGTCTGTCTGTTCTGTTCCTCACTCTGTCTCTGGTGAATCCTCTCACCCTCCCGTGCACCTGGCCTGTACCCCGGTTCTTGTATAAATAAATAAATAAAATCTTTTTAAAAAAAGACAAAAGAAAATAAAATAAACACCAGAGCAATACATACTAAAAATAAAATTCCTGGAATGTGACTAAGTCACATTCACAGCTAAAATCATAGAATTGAATGCTTTTTAAATTTAAAATTGAAAGAAGTTTCAAAGAAAATGTACCAAAATGCCGAGAGGAACCAGCTCTAAGGGCATTTTGAAACTAATGAAAGCCTGTGTACGAGTAAACTTATTAGGAAACAGCAGTGGTAGGAATAGTAAATTCAGGAAGTGGATATTTAGAGAAAAAGATAAAACAAGAAACAGGCAAGACTCTAACAACAACAACCAAGTCTGTATGTTCAATCATACACTTACAAAGTAAGAGTACATTCTGAGTTGATAAATTAGAAAAACTCTGAAACGGATGATTTCCTGAAACAAAAAATTTGTAAATGGCTTTAAGAAGTGGTAAACTTTAACTGATCAGTTTACAAAGAAGAAATGAGAACATTATTAAAGAACTACTTTTCATAAAGATTCTAAGCTCAGCAGCTTTTATGGATAAATTCTTTTTAAAATTTATGGAACAAGGGCCTCCTGGTGGTGCAAGCGGTTGAGTGCTGCACTGTGAGGTGGTCCGCAGCCTCTGCAGTGAGGGTTCCATCCTGGCCAGCCGTGGAGCAACCCACATGGCGAGGCAGACCTCTCCTGTCACGCCTGCTGCTCCCCTCAGCAGTGGATTTCGTCTGCCTGTTCTGTTCCCCGCTCTGGCTCTGGTGAATTCTCTCACCCTCCCGCACATCTGGCTGTACTCTGGTTCTTGTATAAATAAATAAATCTTTGAAAAAATAAAATAAAATTTAAGGAACAGATACTTCTCAGATATTCTAAAGCACAGAGAAATATGGAGAACTGCAATTCTAATTCATTTCATAAATTGATAACATTTGGATGCTAATATCCATTCATGAATTTTAAAATGCAGGTGGGAGTGGGAGCTGCAAGCAACCTGGCAGGAAGGCAGCCCCGGTTTGGGAAGATTAAGGTGAAAAGGGAGAAGGCAGAGGCCTGGGGAGGAATCGGGCAGGGAGAAGCTGTGAAAAGGTCAGAGGCCAGGACATCAGCAGTGTCAGCAGCCTCAGTGGCAGGGCAGCTGGAACTCACCCGCAGTGACTTTGAGGCTGGTCCCGCGGATGGACTGCCACATCTGCTTGCCATGGTTCCGTGTGTTCAACTGGACCCTGCCGAAGTATGTAGAGTGATCCTCGCTCCGCAGGTTCAAGATCTGGAGGGAGCCATTACTACAACCCTCTGCCCAGTGCAGGACCAGCCGCTTCTTGAAATCCTCATGGATGAAAGGTGGGGTTGTGTTATAGATGAACGCTCCGTGGAATTGTTTCCATCTCCAGAAAATCCTCACATCAGGAACCTCGGCCAGCTCCCAGGGGTGATGGAAGGAGAAGGGGATGTGAATGGAGCCACCCTCAGAGGCTGAGAGGTGCTCAGGTTGCTGGACCCAAGGGCTGTGCATTGAGTTGGATCCTGCTGAGCTACCTAGAGGAGGGAGGGGGAGAGACTTTGAACCCCCAGCAGAGACAAAAACAATAACCCCAGTGAGGCACCCTCCCCCAGGGCAGTGCTGTGACATGTGGTAGGAGTGGCCCTCTGGCTTGGGGGTCCCTCTCCAGGCTGGAGGCAGAGGGAAGTGAGGGGTAGCTGGGCCGGGCACCATGGTCCTGCCCTCTGCCAATGGGGGTGGGCAGCAGACCCCTTGTCCAGTCTCCCACCAGAGCCCCTTCAGGATCTGTGCCATGGCCCTGGGGTTGGGGAGGGGGCAGAGCCAGGGAGCCTGACCACTCACCAGCCTGCAGAGGTGCTGGCAGCAGCAGCAGGGGCAGCAGCAGGGGCAGGCCCATGCCTTGCTCTGCTCCCGGGGGATGAGAAAACACTCAGCACTGCCCAGGCCTCTGGCACCAGAGGGTAAGGCTCAGGCTCCTTTGAGAACTGTGGGAGCAGAAGCTCCACCAGACTCACCCTGAAAATCACCAGCACTTCCCTGTTAATCTGGCTTCTTCTTTTCCTATATTGCAAAAGGGCCTCCCTTGTGGTCAGTGTAGAGAGAGCTTCATGTAGGCCCAGCCCCCAGGCCCACTCTGAGAGCTGAAGTTCTGACCTTGACCAGCTAGGCCCTCTCCCCTGCCTCCCTGCCTCTGCCAGGCCCCTGGGCATCTCTCTGTGTCTCTCCCCCTTTTTTTTTCTCTGATTAGAGAACCAGAGTGTCTCCCAGCCTCTGTGTCTCTCTCATCCCAGGGGAGATGCTCATCAAGAGCAGCTCAGGCTCTTTCTGGAAAGGAAAAGGTGGTCATGAGTCACCAACCAGCCAGTGATAGCCCGGTAGAAAGAAGGAGGAGGGAGCCCTGGGGGTCAGATGCCCTGAGCAGCGGTGCCATCCGCCTTTCTCTTGGCCCCTTTCCCTGCCCTCCAGCTTCTCCCCTGCAGTCCTCAGGCAGAACCAAGGCCCCCAGGCTATTTTCCCTTTGAGCAGTCTCATACCCTCCCTGAGGTGAAGAGCTGAGGGTGGGCTAATGTTCCCACCTACCCGGAGAGCAGGCCTTGGAGACCATATTCCACCCACAAAATGCAGGGCTGGGTGTTGGGGCTCTGACCTCACCCCTGCACAGGGGAGGAGATCCATTGCTCAGAGAGGCCTGGCTCCAGGTCACGTCACTCCAGGCGGGGGACCAGGACTCTTTGACCTCCAGTCCCACTGCATGCTCAGAGCGTCTGCCCTTTCTGGAGGCTGCTATGTGTCTGCACCACAGAATCTCTGGGTCTCAACCTCCCAATGCAGAGTTCTGAGGAGTGTGGCCCACGAGGCTGTGTTTTCATAGAGCTTCTCAGGTGATCCCCTCCACAGCATGAGAGTCCTGGCTAATCCAGAACCTTCCTTGGACAGAGGGAGATGAATGCTCAGAGCAGGACCCTTGGTGACCCGCAGTCTCTGTGGAAGGCTCTCCCACCCCTTCCCCAGGATGGGCTTGGCCTTGGCTCACTGAGCAGGCTGTGAGGGTGGGAGGATGTGATATCATGACAAACTCTCAGTCTTCTGGAAGTGAAAGCAAGTTGGGTAACTTCCCTCCTTTCCTGTTTCTTCCCCAACTGATTGTTCCCTTGTGCATTTCCCCCACGGCAGCCATGCTTCTCCCCTTCCTCCCTCCTCTCTCTGTATCTAAAGACTCGAGTATCTAGATACCTCGTCAAAAAGGACACACAGACAACAAGCGCAGCCAAAGCATTAGTGGTGAGGGAAATGCACATGAAAACCACAAGATGTCATTACCCGTCCAGTAAATGGCTAAAATGAAAAAGACCAAACGCACTAGCTGTGGCCAGGATGTGGCACAACCGAAGGCCCACACAGTGTTGGCAGCAAGGTCAAGTGGTACCACTACTTGGGCCATTCCTCAAAAATGAAGCACTCTCAGGCCCTCTGACCAGGTCACGGTGCTCGTGGGTGTGGCCGGGCTGACCCGCAGCAGCCACCCAAAGTGCTGTAGCTTAAAGACCACTGCCTGGAGGCCATGAAGCAGACCTCAGGCCTGCCTTGTGTGTCACATTTACTCGTCACAGAATGTCAGATAAATACCATATACAGTGTGCAGTGTGTAGCCTTTCGAATTTTATTTTTCACTTACTCCACCTGGTTTTGGAGGTGGGCTTGGGACTATATGCAGCTCATGCAATCCCTTCTCGAGCTTCCTCTTCTAATTATAAGTCAAAATTTTAGTTTCCTCTTCCACATCTTGCCAAGCACTTCCTGTGACATCTGCCCTTTGGGAAGTGGTGAGGGGAGAGGCGCAGAAAAAAGAAAGGGGATTCCCCCTACACTCTTTCTACATAGGCCTCTCTTGCCAGTTTCTGTGGCCAGGGAGAAGGACTGTCCTCTCTCCTGGCTTCTCTTTCAGTGTCCTGCCTACTGCTGCTGTGTATTTTTGGGGCGGGTCTTGCCTCAGGGCAGGGTTTCCCCCTAAACTCTCTGCCTTAGGCCTCTGACCAGAAAAGGAGAGTTTCCCTTGGAGTTTTTTCTTCCTGTGCCTGACATGGGCCCTGGGGATTCTGGGGGCACTGAGTCTGAGCTGGGAATGTGGGGGGAACAGGAAACAAAACCCAACTCTTAAGCTCACTGTGAAAGCTCCTCGGGCTTGGATCCCTCTCCCTGGAGTGCTGCTACTTTTCCCAGTGCCCTGGTGGTGGCTCTATGTGTTCTGATCAGCTCCTGGAACTGCAGTGGTATTTCATGTGGCTCTAACCTGCATGCTCCTAGTGAGGAGTAATTGTGACCTTCTTGTCATGTGATTGCCATCGACAGCTCTTGAACAGTGATCTGTTCAAATTTTTTGTCCAATCTTTAAAAATTGGGATTTTATTAATGAGTACAGAGTTCTTTATATATTGTGGTTACAGATTCCTTATCAGATGTGTGTTTAGCAAGTATTTTCTCCAAATCTGTAGTTTGTCTTTTTATTTTCTTAATAGTATAGTTTGAAGAACAGAAGCTGTTAAATGTGATGAAGCCCAGCTTATCAATTTTTTAAAAAGATTTATTTACGCATATAAGAACTGGGGCGTAGGTCAGAGTTGTGGTGTGTGTGCGCGCGTGCGTGCGTGCGTGCGTGTGTGTGTGTGTGTGTGTGTGTGTGAGAGAGAGAGAGAGAGAGAGAGAGAGAGGATTCACCAGAGACAGAGTGGGGAGCAGAACAGGCAGATGAACTGAAATACACTGCTGAGGGGAGCAGCGGTAGAGACAGGAGAGGTCTGCTGTTCCACGTGGGTCAGCTCCCTGGCTGGGGATCGAACTCATGCCGCAGTGGCTGGTGCTAGCTTGACAGCACTGGGACTTTAACCCAAGCGCCACCAGGGAGCCCCCCCAGGTTATCAATTTTTTCTTTCATGGTGTTGAACCTAAGAAACCTTTGCCTAATGCAAAGTCACAAAGATTTTCTATTTTTTCTTCTAAAAGTCTTATACTATTAGATTTAACATTAGGTTTGCAGTCTATTTGAAATTTTAAACACATAGAATGGGAAGTAAGGGTCAGTGTTCATTTTTATTTTTATTTTTGCAAATGGATACCCAATCATTTGAGCAACACTGTCAAAAATACTATTCTTCCCTCCTGGAATTACTTTGGCAACTTTGTTAAAAACCAGTGGACTGAACAGAAGGAAAAAGAAAAATCTCAGATGGCTTCACTTATAAGTGGTATATAGGGAAGCCAAATAAGGGGTAGGGAAAGAAAAGAAAAAAAAAGACGCAACTAGCAGGTCCACTGTGAATGGAGACTTCCAGCAAGGGAGGAGGGAGAGGATCAAAACATGGGAGGAAAGAGCACAAGAGATGATGATGATGGTTCACTGGTGACTTGGTGGTGAGAATTTTATGAGGATTATAACTGAGAGAAATTAAACTTTGTACACAAATGAACAACGATGCAATACACACGCACATATATCTATTTAATAATTTAGAAAAAACCCAGTGGACTGTACACCCTGTGTGTGGGTCTAGTTCTGGACCCTGTTCTGTCCCACCCATCTATGCCCGGTGCCTCACTGCCTTTTTTCTTTAACTTTGTATGTATTATAAAGTCTTATGGGGTCTCCAAATTTGTTCTTCTTTTTCCAAATTGGTTTGGCTTTTTCTTTTTTTGAAGACTTATTTATTTATACAAGAAACGGGGTACAGGCCAGACGCGCGGGAGGTGAGAGGATTCACCAGAGACAGAGTGGGGAACAGAACAGGCAGACTGGTGAAATACCCTGCTGAGGGGAGCAGCAGGCGACACAGGAGAGGTCTGCTGTGCCATGTGGGTATCTCGCTGGGCGGCCAGGATCGAACCCATGACTCAGAGGCTGCAGACAGCTTCACAGCGCTGCGCTCAACCCACTGCGCTACCGGGGAGGCCCGACACTACAGTTCTCCGTTTATTTGATTTCTCTCTTCAGTATTCTACACAGCGATCTTGCCCCTTCGGGAGACACTGCCCGGACGGGGGAGGCCTCGGCCACAGGCACCTCCGTGTCTCAGGCACCTCAGGGAATGGCGCTCGCCCCCCCCCCCCGCCCTGCTCTGGCCCCCATTCCCTCGCCCCGCGGCCGCCAACAAGCCGCCACCACCCGCCCCTTTCCGCCCAAGCGCCCCGTGCAGACTCGGACGCCCCGTCCCACCGGGCCTGTGCAGCAGCCCCCCAAGGCCCTGCGCGCGTCCCGCCCGCCTCGAGTCTAGCGGGGCCTGGTTCTCTGGCGGCGCCGGGGCGAGTCACACTCAAAGCCCGATCGATTTACTTCTCTGCTCAACCCCCGGGCGGGACGGCTCCCCCACCAGGAAGCCCCTTCCGTGGACCGCGCCGACGGGGACGGCTCCCCCACCAGGAAGCCCCTTCCGTGGACCGCGCCGACGGCTGGCGCCTCACGGCGGGCGACTCTGCTGCGCTCGCCGACGGCTCGTGCCCGGCGCGGCCAAGCTCCCCGCAGCCGCGCGGCCTCCGGGCGCCTTCCCCGCCCGGGCGCCCAGAGCCCCGCCGTCGTCAGCCCCGCGTCCACCGCCCCACTCCGGGGCGCGCGGCGGCGGGCGCGCTGGGCCCACGGGCGCTCCCCCAGAGCCGGGCAGGCGCCGGCCCGAAGGAGGGCGGGGGGCGGGCGGCTCCGGGAGGGGCGGGCGGCTCCGGGGACCCGCGGCCCGACCGCCGCGGGGCGGAGCAGGGGCGGAAGGAGCGGGCTGCCGGGGCGGAGGTAGTCGGGGGGCCCAGGGGGCGGCCAGGGAAGGGTCGACCTGGGCCCCGGCTCCGGAGCGAGCTGCTGGACCGGCTGCGGCCGGCGAGGCGGGGCCGCGGAACCCGGTACCGAGCGGGTGGGGGGCGCGGGCGCGGGCTGACCACGGCGCCCACCGCCACCGCGACCTCGCCGCGCCCGGGAGGACGCGCTTCTCCGGCGGGACCGCGGCGCTGTGTCCGCAGCGCCGCCAGGTGGCGCTCGAGTTCCTTGCGCGCGGCGTGGGGAGCGCCACCTAGTGGTCAGCGCACGCGCGCCCTTCCCGGGCCGGCTCAGAGGCCCCTGTAGGCGCTCTGGCCCCCCGCGGCCGGCTCTTCTCCTGCCCCAGCGGGCAGGCAGCTCCTGGGCAGAGTATGTCCAGCGGGGACGGGTGGTGCCACCACCAGCGACTCCGTTCCTCCGCACTAAGAGCACGTCTGCCTTCCCACTTTCACCCCGGCAGGGCTTCCCGAAACTACCGATCCTTTGGGGGGGGGGGTTTGAGTGACTCTGCAAAGGTGCCAGGTTACAATCTCACACTCCCCTTTGCCTTACCACTCATTACTACCGAGGGAGCAAAGTGAGCCCCAGAGAGGTTAAGAGTCCTTGAGGGTCCCACATCCAAGGTACACGTCTTGAGTAAGGCTGAGGGCGTGTCCCCTGGAGCTGCTGGGGTTGCTTCATTTATGTTCCCTTGGGCAAGTTCTCTCTCCCACGGTACAGATCAGAGCCTGATCTCCAAGACTGGCTGTTGAGAGGAGTGTCCAGACGGCTAATCTGGAGTCTGTGTTATAGTCACCCCTCAACACTCACAGCGCACCCAGCTCTCTCTTCAGATGCTGCTGGTTCTGGCACTTGGAGCTGGGCAGGGAGCAGGCTGGCAACCCAGGTTCTTGCCTCCCGAGGGTTTTGGCTTCATGTGCCACAGGCACCAGGCTGGGCTGTGACCTCCTGAGCTTGTGGAAGACAGGTTCAGGCCAGCGGGGCTTCCCCAGCTCCATGATGGGCAAGAGTCCTGGTTGAGAGCTAAGCTGAGACCATGAACATTCCCTTCCCAGAGAAGTGAGGGTCCTGGGTCTCCTCCAAGGCCTCCCTGAGATCCTGCAGGCCCACTGCCCCCAGACCCCTGGTCCTGCTCCTGGTATGGTCCCAAAGCCATTGGGACCTCACTGACATCTCCCTGACCTTCCTTGGGGACCTCACCTCGATAGCACCCCTTTCTCTTTCCCTTGAGACCCTCCCACCTGCCCCGTGCTGCATTGAGCTACTAGGCGGTTGCCCAGGGCTTCTTGGACGGTGATGATGATGGGCCAGCTGAGGAGGAGAGGCCCAAAGACCCCGTAACCTCACCCTGTCTGGTCTAGCCTCTCCAGCTCTGTGTGGAGCTGGTGGTCGGATAGGACCGAGTCCTGGGACAACGCCCTCCGAGCATACCCGGAAGAGTAAGTGGCAGCTTGCTGGAAGATTGTGTTGGACACCGCCGCTGGGCTGGCCTTGCCTGCACAGGCAGAGCGGGGGTGGTTCCTGGCTTGGCAGGTGGCCCTGCCTGGGATTTCCCATAGGCAGGACCCAGGAAGGGGCCATGTGGCAGGTGCCCCCTCACACTAGTATCACCCTGGTCCAGGGCGCAGCCTTCGCTTGGCCCCAGGACCCTGCCACCCCACCACCCAGAATACGCTGCGTTTCTGTGGGACCTTGCGGCTCTCGGAGCTTTCTCACCACATTGTCTCCTTGACAGAGGCCCCGAGAAACCCCAGAGAGCTGCTTACAGGAGGGCTGGCTGCAGGGGGAGAGTGCGGGTTCCGTTTGTGTCTCTGGGCCTCTCTGCCTGCCCTGAGTGGTTAGTGGGCAGCAGTCCTGGTGCCCTTGTAATGGGAGAGGAGCTGGAGGGAGCCACTGTGGGAAGATTTGAGGTGGGCGCCCCACCTCTGGATGTCACTCTGAGGAAGGAGGCCATTGGGGCCCCACCTCGCGCCATCCCAAGGAGCCCCGGGCAGAGATGCCAGGTCAGAACACAGGCGTTTTTCTGGGGTTGAATTGCCCAGCATGCTGCCACTTACTCTTCCATGCTAGGATACGGTGCAATCTGAGTATGGATCCTCCTGCCTGGGGTCCACCAGCGCCCCCATCCTGTCTTCCCACCTGGTGTCCCCTGGCAAGGTCTGCAGGGCTGGGAATCCTCTGCTGCCGCTGCCATCAAAGGCCCTGAACACCCCGTCCTGGAGGCGGAGCTGGGGCACTGCCCTCTCCTGGGCCAGACCCTGTCCCCAGGCCGAGGCCAGTCCCCTGTGGCGCTAACCTGGCCCCGCCTCCCAGGGGTGGAAGGTGCCTCTAATGTCTTCAGTGCCCCCTCCCCAAAGAAGAAAAGGTCCAGACGTGTCCAATCAGAGAAACCACTTTGTTGACTTCGTTTTTGACATGGCGGAGCGGGCTGGGGACTTCCAAAGAGAAACAGCCTGGGGTGGGTTTTGTTGCCTCACAGGCCGACCACCCCTCAGCGAACAAGCCCTGGCCGAGCATGCGTGAAGACACTTCCTGGAGGCCTAGGAACGACACGAGGTGTGCAGACACCCAAGGGAAGGGGTCTGCGGGCCCAGGACGAGCGCGAGGCCCGGTGGACCGGGCGTCTCTCACTGCATTTCTAAATGTCCCTCCTCTCAATGGTTCTGGGCCCCAGCGGGTTCTGGAAAGGCATAAGGGTGGGCCTGGTGTGGAGATGCCTTTCTTCTGCCTGACCACGGAGTCCATGTTCCATGGAGATGAAGTTGTGGCGAGCGGAGGGCGGCAGGGCTGCCCTGGGGGCGGGGGACCGCAGCTGGCGTGCCGTTTGGGTGGGGGTCCTTGTCCCCCAGGACGGCGGTTGGGGCAGAGGGACTGTGTCCATAGTGGGTGGGTCAACGTAGTTGTTGCTGACGGTGGCGTAGGGGGTGTGGAGAGATGCCAGGGGGTCTCGGCTGACCATCTGCAGGGGTGATGGGGAAGGAGGCCCAAGTGAGCTCCACTTCACGGCCGCCCCCGCTCCAGCCCACTCCGTTCCCTGCTCCGCCAAGGTCCCCCGGGCCTCACCCTTGCTTGCCTCTGTGTCTGGGCGCCGCTGTGGGCCGGCTGAAGCTTCACGATAGACCTGGAGGGTTAGGAGGATCAGAGGCAAAGCGGGGCTAGCCCCGTGGAGGGGGTTTCAACTGGGCCTGGGAGGGGCTCGGTCTCACCAGCGCCTCCGCCGATGCAGGAGGTAGAGGAGACAGATGCAGCTGAAGATGAGGACCCCCGAGGCCCCCATGATCCCAGCCAGGTCTGCCCGCAGTATGGAGGCTGCCGTAGGGACCCGCATCCCTGTGTGCAGAGAGGTGCCAGAAGGGTGGCCGGTGCCCCCGACTCCCTCCCAGCCCTCCCTGGCTCCCTGTCCCCGGCAGCCCCACCTTCTTCCAAGCTGAGCAGGAGGTTCCCACAGGCCTCCTGGGAACCCTCAGGGTAGGAAGTAAACTTGCAGCAGAAGGTGGTGTTGGGACCAGGGCTTCTCCCCTCCAACCCTTCCAGGGTGAGAAGGATGCTGGTTCTGTCTTCCCAGTGGGCCTGGCAGGTAGGGACCCACAGCTCGGTGCCCAGTTCTGGGTGCAACACAGCCAGCAGGGTTCCCCCAGCATCCTCGGAGGCCCCGGCGCTCACGGTCGCCAGGGAGATGGAGCCAGATCCCCGGAATCCGCAGCGGATGGTGAAGTTGGCGTCCTCCGCCTGAACTTGCACCCACACCTCGGGGGTCCCTGCAGAAGTCAGAGGTGGGAAGGGCCCAGGCCTGGGCTGCCCCCTGCCCTCCAGCTGGCCTCTGCGTGGCTCTGGCCTCCCCACTCACCAGCAGTGACGCAGAGTGTCAGCAGCACGAGCAGGACCGGGGCCCGGGCCCTGTGCATGGCCGCCCTCCAGCCCGGGCTCTGGGGGCAGCCGTGCTGGGAACAGCACCTGTGTTTCTGCTGTCATCACAGGAAGTTTTTTGTGTGTGAGCAGGCCCAGGAAGCAGGCTCTCCACCCCACTTCCTCCTCTGTCTCATTGTGGAGAGCACCCTGAGGGTGGAACTTAGCCACAGTGACGAGGTCTTGCTGGTTCCCAAGACTGTGCTTCAGGGCAAGCAGGGGGTGGGGGTGGGGGTTGAGGGTTGAGGGGTGTTGCCAGCAGGGGGTTACCTAAGAGCCAGCCCAGCTCTATATTTACCTGCTGTGGACCTTGGAGTGGCCTGATGCCACCTTCCACCTTCCACCTTCCCAGCTCCAGTGCCGGCCTCTCCACCCATTCGCGCACTTTAACACGCTATCGCCACGAAAATGGCCCCAAAGCACTCTGTCCTGGCACATTGGAAGGCTGCTGGCCTCCAGCTGCTCGGGCCAAGGTCAGCATCTATGACCCTTCACCTCCAGCCCACGGGGAAATCTGGGACTTCTCACCATTCCTACGGCCCCTCCCTCCATCAGGCCATCTCTTCCCACAAACTGTTGCCCAAATCGCTTTGCTGTTTGTTTTTTCAGATGCAAAGTGACCAGAATGCCACTGCAGAAGGTGACATGTGGCCCTTCCTGGGGTCAGAAGGCTTTGCATCCTGTCCTATCCAGTGCCGAGCTGAGGGCCGGGGGCGAGTATCTCAGCGAGCTCAGGGTCAGAGCCAAGGGCAGACGCGGAGCTCAGACCCGAGAGGCAGCGCTGCGCTGTCCACGGCCCGCCTGAGGCCGGAGCTGCCCCGCCTCCTGTTGAGTGTCGTGGTGTCCATCAACCTGTGGGTCTGTTGGGCAGACTCTGCACCTCATTCACGCCTGAGCCCAGGTAGGTGGGGCTCCGGGGCAGTCCCTCCTGGCTGCCAGCCCGCTCGCACCCTCTCACCCCGCTGACCTCCCAGGCCCGATGTGCCACCTGCAAGCCCGGCTGGCCCGCTCTCACCGCTCTCGTGAGTCTCCCCGCTGGCCCTGCCGGTGACCAGGGCTGAGTAGAGGCACCGGAAGAACTTGGAAATAGACAACTGACAGACACAAAATAGGGTTTAAGAGAAGCGGGACCCAGGGGCCGCAGAGCTGCTCATTCCGGGGTGCCCGGCGCAACTCCTTTTTATAGATACAAAGCGCCCCCTCCCCTCCTCGTTACTAGACAATGCGTCCTCGCAGCGTTTGGCCTGGTCCGGGCACACGTTCCCCGCCAAGGCTCTGCGTTGCCAGGCATGTGCTACTCCCTTTCTCACCTCGCCTGTCTCCCAGGCTTAGCTTGACGACACAGGGAAGGACATCGTGGTCTGCACACGGGCCAGTCTTCCAGCCTGTGCTGACCAGTCTTCCAGTCACGACCCCGACGTTCTCCCTGTCTCAGCGCCTCGCTCCTTAGGGGGCTCCAACAGTTCCCGGCGAGGCAGGTCACCCGGTGGCCGGAGCACCCATGGCACATGGGGCTGCTGGCCTCAGTCTCCCTAGCCTGGAAGGCCCTTGTCTCCTACCCGCTGAAATCCTCCGCACTTTGCCGGGCCCAGTGAAGGTCCCAGCACCCCAGGAAGCTGTCCGCAGCAAGGGCTTGCCCTGGGTGGCGGCTGCCGGCCGGCTGGTCCTGCAGGCTGAGGCCAGGCCCTGGAGCGAGGGCTGGCGTTTCTTCACCCCAGCAGTCCAGGTGCACAGGGGGGCGCCACGTACAGAGACCCACGGATCAAAAGCCATAGCACAAAGTTAAGTCTTCACCAATATTTCCCATTTTTTTCCAATCTTGGGAGCCATGCTTTATCCTTAGCAAATTCTCATTGTAAAGGAGTCGACAACCGCGAACAGAAAACATCCACATCATCCTTTCGCAGCCTGCTCGCTCCTCCCCCCAACCCATTTTAATTTCCGTGAGGTTAAAGTTGTCAATCTCTCATCACTTCTGGACTTTGTGTGTTTAGGAGGACCAAGTTACAAACATGTCACAGTTTTGTTGCCGTGCTTAACTATGAAGGAGGTGGTGTCACATTTTAGGTGGAGAGAAGCAGATGTCCCCAAACCATTGACTGACTAGTCTCTTCCCTGCTGCTTCGAAATGGATTTGGTCACAGACTCTTACCAATGGGTCTACTTCCAGATTCTTCTGATCTCTCCCTTGATATTCTTACTCCTGTTCAGTGTCTCCTAGTAGAGTACTTTGGATTGATTATGTGAGGGCCCTGGTCCTTTCTCAGGACTTTCCTGGCTCTTCCTAAACAGTCTCCAGAATTTTGAGCCCCAGATTCCCAAGAGATTGTTAAGCCGAGCAAGATGAATCTTGCATCATCAGGCCTGTATTTGTGGCCTCTTCTGGATGTACAGCTTAGATGACGCAGGTATGGTAACGGCCATCTCCTGCTCTGACAGGTCTTGGTGAAATAAATCCCTGGAGCCACAGCCAACTCCTGCTGCTGTGAGAAGAACCCGTCTAGTCAGTCTTAGGCCCATGAGGGTTTGAAATGGGGCCACAATCTCAACTCTCTGCTGGCTCAAAGCTGCTGGCCTCCCCAGGCAACTCCATCCCCACATGGGTCATAGCCGGCTGCACTGCTGGTAGAGATGAGGGAAAGTGGCGTGGGTGCGCCCTCCCCTCATGCTTGGCTCAGCCCTCAGTGAATGTTGATGACCATCCTTCTATAGAACTTTCCTCATCTGAGTTTTTAGAGGCTTGTAACTACTGCTTATTTATGTGTATTTTAAATGCTGTGAAAAAGGCCACATGTGCTCCTGCATCAAAATAATATAAACAGTAAGCGGTAACCTCTGAGTGTAGACCATGTGTGAAATTTGTTCTGAGTAACTCACGTGTATTTAGCTCCACACTTACAAATCTCTTTATGAGGGAAATCACTTCCCTCATCGGATGTGAACTCCAATAAAAACTTCAGCTCTAGAACCCACACTATTAACCACAGTGTAAAAGCAGCCTCTCCCACACAGTTAACAAATTTAAATTGAATTACAAGGGTTTTGTCTAAAACCAGCCATGCTCCAGCCCTTCCCAGAGAAGCTGCTCAGCTCCCAGCCCAGCTGCCCACCCTGCTCCCGCCTGCGTGGCGCGGCAGCCTCACAGATGCCTTCATCTTCCACCTGCACCACAGTCCCTTCCCTGGCCCTAATCTACTAAGTCAAATTGAATATATTTTCCTTCAAGTTTCCTTGGGATTTGCTGCTCCCCCACCCCCAGAGGTCTTCTCCAGGTTCCCAGAGAACTTTTGTGAGGTTAACATTGTCAGTATGTCATCATTTTAGATGGAAAAAAAAAAAAGTGGCGATTTGCACTTTCTCTCTTTCTGTCTCTGTGGACATCCTATTTCTCCAGCTACCTGGCTTGGAGAAAACAGTCAAGGTTTTCAGGAAACTTGTGCTTAACAGGAACCAGTTTTGTGGGTCCCTTCTAGGATGGCGATGTTCTACCTGATCCCTAAGAACTGTGGAGCTCAAGGAAGATTCGGCATGTGTGTGTGTGTGTGTGTGTGTGACCTCACCACCTCATCCTCTGTCATCCAAGCACAAATTCTTCTCATCCTATAACCCACAGGTCAAGGTTCAAAGGACAGGGTAACTTGCCTATAACTGAAGACTTTTCTCAGCAATCGGGACAAAACCTCTGTACTTGACAATTTAAGACCAAATACCAAACAACTTCTCTTCCAGCAGAGCTCATGATCACAAGGGTTAAAAAGTAAATGTTTATTAAAAATTATTTAAGGTCTCCCTGGTGGCGCAAGGGGTTAAGCACAGCACCATGAAGGAATCTGCAGCCTCTGCAGCATGAGTTTGATCCCCGGCCCGCCAGGGAGCTACCCACATGGTGAAGCAGACCTCTCCTGTCTTGCCTGCTGCTCCCCTCAGCAGTGTATTTCAGTCAGTCTGCCTGTTCTGTTCCCTGCTCTGTCTCTGGTGAATTCTCTCACCCCCCACATTTCTGGCCTATACTCCAGCTCTTGTATGCATAGATAAATAAATCTTTAAAAAAAGAAAAAAAGAATATTTAAGATGATTTAAAAGCAACTTTTCAGGAGTGAGCTAAGGTTACGCACAGCAGTGCCAGCCCGAGAGCACTGCTTGCTGTCACTTGTCAAGGGGTGAAGTTCTGCCCACGCAGAGGCTCCACCTTCTCTGCCTGAGCTGACCTAGGCTTGGCCCAGGGGAGCAGCTGCTCACCAGGCCACAGTCCTCACTCTACTGGCAAGGGCACAGAACTGTCCAATCTGTGGTTGTGAAGGTGAAGTGTGTGCATCTCTGGCGGAACACAAAATATCCACTGGTGGCAGGCAGGAAAGACAAGGAATATTTCTAACTTTTTAGTTTAAAAAAAGAATTATTACTACGTGACATGGTAAATGTCATGGTTTACCTCTAATAAAACCAACATCTTAAAGAGCGCAAACCCATAGCTTGTTATGACAGAATGCAATTTAAATGCTACAGGATGTAGTGGTTTTGTGGTCTAAACTGTGCATATCTCCTCTATAAGTGCCCTTTACACATGGGGATCATTTTTTGACCTGTTTACATAACTTCCAAATGATGAATTTCAGTGGATTTTGCAACATTAAAAAAGTGGTAAATGAAGCCAAAGCACCTATTTCATTTGGACTTACATGGTTCTCAGCAACTCTCCTTCCAGTTTTATGATGGTCATTAAAAGTAATTATCAGAGGCCTCCCTGGTGGCCTACGGGTTAGGTCTCAGTGCTGTCCCACTAAGGCCTGAATTTGATCTCTGGCCAGGGAGGTAACTCACATGGCACAGCAGACCTCTCCCGTCTTGCCCACTTCTCCCCTTAGCAGTGTATTTCGGTAGATCTGCCTGGTCTGCTCCCCACTCTGTCTCTGGCAAATCCTCTCATGGCCTGCACCTCTGGTCTACACCCCAGTTCTTCTACACAAAAAACCCCCACAAAAAACTCTCAAGATAAACAACTTTCAACTAGATCTTAAGAAAGTATCAAGTCATGATTGAAGACATCTCTCAACAAAATTATCTTT